TGGCAAAAGAGGGCTATGGCTTTGTCCAAAGGTCAGACCACTGGTGGTACCTAAACAAGGCGTTATAATTGCAAATACGTATTCTGAGATGTGATCCTGGTGAAGCCAAAATTCTCTAAAACTCAGGACAAATTTATTCTTTATTTGACGTCATTTAAGTAAGAGGAAAGATCAATGAATAACTCTCTTACCCCTACAATCAGGCAAAGCTAATGGTTGATTTGTAATCAAATGAAACAATGTCATTTTGAAGAAGGAGGAACAAAACACGCTATCACCCTCTAAAAGTACCTCCGAAAACGCGTTGTAGCAGACAATTAAAACGGCTTGGCTAAATGGGCATCAACGCCACTTTTAAAGCTACCTCGATTAATATAACCTCAGTTCGGCATTCACAGCAGTGTTGTGGCGCTGTATGTGCCTTTGAACCCAAAAAAACAGTTCTGTTGGAGGTTCGTGAATTGAAGCGGACTAACTGCGTTTTAGTCTCTCACGGCCCTCCTGAAAACTGAGAAAGACGTATTACTCAGGCAGCACATGTAGCGTTCACATGGTGACGGGCGACGGAGTCGCTGCAATGAAACAAATCGAGCTCCTAGATGACTTGTTGCCAAAACAGTCATATACAGTTTCGTACAACCTCCAACCAGCGTGATAAAGGTAAAAGAAAGGTGGATATGGAACCTTTCTGAATGGAAAATCCACGCCGCTTATTGGCAACCTAAGTTAATTCAAGACAAAAGGGTTTGCTTAAATAGGGCCAGAATCAAAGATTTAAGGGATTACAAAGTAGAAGACTGAGTACAATTATGCCAACTCAATTTTGATTGCAGTGTCATTTCAGAGGCTTCTTATTAATGCTTCATTTGCTTGCATAAATCGTCAGTTAGAATTGAGGGCATACAAGGCCCGTCATACGCCTTAGCCATTGACCACACCACCACTCCTTCACCCCTTCCGCACGTCATTAATGCCTTCTCTATCCTGGTCCAATGCCTCCTTTTGCCAGCGCAAGTCGAAATTAATCCTAAAAGACAAAGATTTAAATGTAAACTCCTAAAGTATGTGAGACAAATGTCACCAGTGTGAGAATCTGCGATGACCTTACCAGAGCAGCTAAAACTGAAATTTGACCTTAGCAGCAATGCCACTTCCAGGCTCGACTAACAAATGAAGCATTAGGAGCCGTAACCATTCGATATGGGTTTGCAATTCGGCTCCGCAAAATACTGTTGATTGAGTTGATACCGAGATACTTCCTTTTCCTTTCTACTAGGTAAATAAAACATGGATTGTTGCATTCCTTGTCACCGCTTGCGAATAATAAATTGGATAGGAGAGGCAGGCACAAGTTCAAACTCTTTCCCCACAAAACGACCTGATTTGTCAGTGCGATTACTACATGCTTCCAATGTACTTCCAGAATAGGACGGAGTTCAGGCTCTGATGCGTTGCTAAAACTAATAAGTGGTGTTGTAGTCTGCTGCTTTCTGACCTTAACTTCCAGTACAGGTGCAAAAATGTGGTGCATCTGGGACGGTGCTTAAGAGCACAGGTGTTGTACACTCTTTATGTAGCCCGACCACCGGGTCACGCTTGTAATACCCTCAAATACTATGATCATTAGCAAGAAATTACTGTGACTCTGATAGTCTAGCGACTCGGAGGCAATCAGCTGCTCGACAGAATGTTGACAAAGGCAACGAAAGAATGAAAAGATGTACCACAGGTTTTAAATAACCGCAGAAATAATAATAAGCCGTAAAGGTGGACTCTCTGTCTTATAGTTCAGATTAAAGATGAAAGTGGTGACCGCGCTTCAGATCCGCACCTTAAAGTTGCCGCTTTTAAAAAACTGATCGACAAATTTTTTCTTATGCATAAAAAATCTACCCTATCTCAACGTTTGAGCATTTTGTACACATCGATTTAGACACCCTTCAAAGCGGTTGGACTACTACGCCCTCGAAGATGGCTTGACAAGGTTTACCACTGCAGAGAGCACTACAGTCGATCTCGCCACTAAATTCTATTACTGAATTTGAGGAGTTCAAGGTGGAGGATCGATCCCCACCAGTAGAGTGGAAGGATTTTTTCGCGTTACCAATTTTTTGTCTGCGCTATAAATGCTGTCTATAGACCGCAGGTGTCTGGAGACTCATGTAAGAAACACTTCCAATGGAGTAGCCAGGTTTACAACTTTCAGTTGTAATTGGTGTTAGGAGATAGGATTGTTTATGAGACTGAAAAACTAGGTGAGTGGTCTCCAATACCTTGCTGAAGCGTTCGAGCTCTGTTGATGACACTGATGATAACCATTGTGCATGACAGTGATCGAAATTGGTGTTGAAATCGCATTATCTGGACGACCAATTCTGATTCGTAAAAGGTATAATTGGGCGATCAAAAATTGACTCGATAATAAATCCAATTGTTTCCCTTTCAAAAAGGCATGCAGCCTCCTCCTGTTAAAATCAGCACTGGCTGGTATTGCGGGATGTACTGCTACCTCCGAGGTCCCGAGGTGCATGGGCGATGTCTGCGGTCCAAATTCCTATTAAAAAGTGATCAGCGGCGGACGCATTCATTCCTCTATAACCGCTTGTGCATTTCATTAGGTCCCGGTACTGATTCGATGTACCCGGACTCAAAGCAACGCTTTTCCCAACTGGTTGAATCTTGTCACAGTTAATGAAGCCAAATCACTGTTCCAGCCATGTTTTGCATAAAATCTTGCAAACCGAAGCCATCAAATCCTCAGTGTCTTTTAAATGTTACTTTGCAATGGAACCACATTGTTCCTTCTTGTAACATTCAATTTTGATAACCTTGAATTGTCAGCTGTCGAGCTGATTGACTGTTTTCTGTTGTCATCACTTCCCTCCATCAATAAAACACTTACGTTTTGCATGAATTTTGAGGTGCTCATCAATTACATCCCGCAGAAAGGAGCCTCGTTCGTCAAGGACAAAACTGTTTTTAAAATAATTAAGTAAAAGACACACATGTGAGCTTAAGCGCGTGGGAGAACGCACCAAAAGAATCTTAGCATATGCGAGACCTTGAATTTCCTGAATAATTATTCAAATGCTTCCCCACATTCGTGTCTACAACAAGGAATTTGTATGCGCCGGTCGAGGGCGCCTTTGTTGGAACTAAAATGCTCCTATTAGCATTGATAAGAAGGGTGTTTGTCAAAATTTTGAAGTAATTGAAGGATGTAAAATACTCACTTACCGACTGAGTTTTCATTGTATAATTGCACAACTTTTTTGCAATATGCTGACTTTTCCTAGCCATCACTCTTGACCGCATCGGTGGGAAAATCGTAGTGCAAATAACTGTTTTTTAACTAAATGTGAAAATTGGGCCATCCCTTTGCTCCTACTGCATAATTAATGTACCATCAACTTAGAAGCCTTGGAGATTATAAGGGTCTGTGTACTTGTATTAAAAATGTGAGCTTTACTGCCTCTTCGAAATCCTAGTATCACACAAAAGGGAGGAGGTGTATTCGTCCTCTTATTTCTGCTATCGGCTAAGAGACAATAATGCTACTACGTCACTTGTTCGAATTCAACCGCATCTTGAAGGATTTGGAGAAATTTGTCTTTCATTCCACAAATCGGCACGCGCAGCGAGTTTTGCGATCGCTGGCTCTTCAGAATCCGCGGGTGAGCACCAAAAACAGCGAACTATTTCCAATTATCTGTATGCCAGCGTGAAATTTGAGATTCAATGCCTTTCTCTGAAATCCCATCGTCTTACTCGCCTTCCCATAAGCTATCAGCTCTATCACACAAAAAGAGTGAGTATGTTTGTTCCATTGTTCCCACCACAGAGAGAGAACAATGTAACCTACCATGTAACGTTTCTTCCTCGTGGGCAAACAACTTCTAACCCAAATTACTACAGGCGAGCAATATTGTGGGTTACATCCAGTCCTAAAAGTAGCAAGCAATGCAAGTCAATGACCAAATACATTCGCACAGTCCACATAGCTCCTCGTGCTTCTCGCTCTTAGTGATTCACCTTCAGACTCATAAAAATCTACCGCTCCGACTTTCTTGCCCGATCTTGCAGGTCCACAGATGCGTGGCACAATTCATTAAGGCAGTAATTTAAAATAAAGAGGCACAATCGGCGTAGCTCCAAGTCAACAAGAAATGTGGTGCGCCAAAAAATTTTCTGCCAGGTCTTAACAGTAAACGTTTTAGGCCTTGACGATTCCTCTAGACCGAATCGTGAGGATGTAGGCGACTCACGCAGCCCCTGCAGACAGTTAAAACAAGCCTGAGTCATGCCAACAACCTATTCCTCTCCTGCCAATTGAGACAAACGACAACGAGGTCTTTAATTGCGCTGCCTTACTAGCCTTTGTGCAAAGCTCGATGCAGGAGGGTTTCCCACGAATGGATGCGAAACAGTTGCCATTCAGTTGAAGTAAGTCTAGTAACATTGCTATCTGAACCTAAGCGTAACGTTGAAATTCCTTAAAAATTACCAGAGTAGATTGCACTAATAGGTAATCTTCCTTATATCAGCATTGTAGAGGATTCTTTTTTCGGCAACCAGTGCCAACATCCGAACCCCAGTTTTCGATGAGCGTCGACCATCATGGAAGACTTGAGCATGCAGAGTGCACTTCATCTCAGTGTAGCTTAAACACGCCCATTGCTGGACTGAACTACGGGCCTCATTCACCAAACTCTCATCTTACTTTTACAAATTAAAATCCCTGACTTCTAGGATTTACTTGCTTAGGACTGACATCCCTGAAGTGTGTGGTTTACCATCGATATTGCCATAAGATGCATGATTCTGGAAGTATTGGGAGACAATACGCCACGATTCCCGATGCACAAATTTAAAAAGCCCGAGGTCAGTCATTAATTCCTTAGATTCATTTCGTCTTTCGGTTCCTAAACTTTATTTAAAATTAAAACGACTTGTACAAAAATAGCATGGGATGCAGGTGCCTGGCGGATGAGATCAGAGGCTTAGTTAATACTTGGTATGCTCTGACTCCCTCTCAACATTTGGTATCGTACTTGGGGAAGGTTGCGGAAGAAGTCGAGGTTGGTTAAATTCTGATCGGCATGATGGTAGTACCACTCCTGGCGGTCGTAGAACCACTGCTCCGTCACATCCAGCACGGGAGCGTTGATGTGCATGACGAACTTATTTACAAAGAGGTAAGGAGAATCTGGCTTGAAGAGGGGCTGCATACCATAGAGATCGAAGATGCAGACAGAATGGCGCCACACTCCGCTGCACTCCGCCGGAAAGAAGTGTTTCCATCGATTCACATAGTAGCCGCCGCTCCGGTAAACTTCGTCTCCTTCTGCATCAACAAAAACAACGACGTTTATAAAACTGACTACCTTTCCCATTTTTCCAGTGCCACACCTCTGCATCATTCATTCTTCTTAGAATTTGACGCATCATTTTTTGTACTTGTTGAGGTAGTTCAGGTAGTTATTCTTATTGCCATTTCTGCGATTTGATTTAGTTCTATGTGCAGCTTGGTCGCTCCAACGCCTCCTCGCTCTGAATCCCTTTGACGAGACATTCTGACATTAATCTGTGGTCGTAACAAATCAAGGCCTTGAACTATTTCTACCCGATGAATTGTGAAAGGACTACACGGCGCCTTTAGGTACGACAAATAAGCCACTTAAACGCAACTGCTCAACAACATGTTAAACATGTGGCCGCAAATGGTCCCGCCACTTTGAAGTCCTTGATTGGGAAGACAAAGGTAAAGGAAATATGTAAGCGGATTTGCCTCAAGCTATCATCTGGTCCGAAATGAGCAATTCTAAGCCATCTTCATAACGTCAGCCGAAGAGACGGTGAGGGATAATCTACATGAGTTTCAACCGGTGGTGTGAATAATTCCTCCCTTAACCTTATGTGAAGCGGTTGCAGTGTAGTCATGAGCAACTGAATATCTCCAAACAAAACAGGTACTGGCAAAATCGTAGGCAATAACATCTCAAACTAGGCGTTACCTGTACTACGAATCGCAAGTCGACCTGATGCATACGGCGTCTGAAAGCAATGATCTCTTTTTTCCAATTCACCAAGTTGATATCGCGACTGAGGAAGGCGACGATAAGTTGGGGAAATTTTTAAATTCATTTACTAGAGATACTTAAGTGTATTTTATGAAGCTAAGATTCAAGTTAAGTGGGTTTTAAGGAAGTGAGATAGGTAGAGGGTGGAAAATACGACGAACTCTTTGACTTCAATCTACGACAAATCAGCGGCAAAGCACCCCATAAATGGGTGGCAAATAAGCCATTGTTTAAAAATAAAGGCATGAACAGCGAAGATCTGCAGTGCCATCAGGCGAGGAGTGCATGATGACCTACTGGGGAAGTTGCCAGGGGCATTGAGAACGGCATTGTGGTTGATAGTAGAGAAGAGAGCTTCGTCTGGAATACCGACCTCAGGAAGGTAGTCAAGGAGATCCTTAACCCATTGGTCAGTAAAGAGGAAGTCTACGAAATCCCACGTCAATACCACATGCACTGCGCCCTTGTATAATTGCAGCCCATGAGGTGGATCGCGCCACGCGCGGCGCAAGTAGAAGAACCTGTGTATTCAGCACGGGAGGATAAATTTAGCATACTCTAGACCAGTACTTTGTGACTCAACATGCAAACGGAAAACTAATTCCAACAAAAATGTTTGAAGAAAAAGGCAGTATATGAGGCCAAGCATTTGTTCCATTTCTACCTCTCTTCACTTTCTTGACTGTCTAGGTTATAGCATTTATTAACAGGAAAAAGCGGCAATCATATGGAGAAATGGTGAGATAAGAATGAGAATGTGCCTTTCTGCTTTCATCCCTAGCCACAGTGCACGACTTCCCATGAGTTGCTGCTGCCCCGCCTTGCAACTCTGGCTTTATCTGATTGGTCCACTAAAGTTGCATCGAATCGAGCTGGCTAGTCTCGACGATGTGTGATAGGATCCTCCATGATGACCTAATCTATGGCAGTCTGCTTAGCAAACTTCGACATGCAAAGCAAGGACACAGAAAGTGATTCGTATTACAGATGATTTACTCGTAATTACAAAATATGTAAAACCGGATAACAGATTGATCCTAGTTGAGACGCAGTCTATCAAATCCCGTCAACATATGCTATGGCACCTCCCGTGACCATCATACCATTTAATGTGGAGGCGATGTTAACTCGAGTTGCAAAGTAGACAAGGACGATTTGTTTCGATCGGATTTACTTTACATTTTGCTATGGGAGTGGATCCAAAACAAGTAGCAGAATCGTGGGTAAAACGTACTGCACTGACAGACACGAATAACGAATTGTTATCCATACTTCACATTTAGACAAGTGTAGTACTTTGGAAGTGTTAATGCAGAATTACTGCTCATGGTATCAGTCAGTGAAGCTCTAGTCGAGCTCCATTTCCAATCGAACAAATTAATCAATTTCGCCTCCCTCTGGCTATCGATTGAAAACTGCTCGGACTCAAAGGTAGTCCTCTCATGTGCACTCTTTGTAAGATCGATAGGCAGGCTTGAGTGTTGTTCGCATTTCAACGTAGGACTAGGTGGAGCGCGTATCATTGATTACCAGCGTCGTTTCATGCATTGTGTACTGTCAAAGGCGACCGATACCGGAAGTAGTCCCGTTTGCCTTCGTGCTATAGAGATTTCAGCCATTACTCCGTGTAGAAACTGGGACAAAACTAGACCGGGGCTTGGAACGAGTTTGGATCAGGTTTAATAGTTTCAATTCAGAAATGTTACAGTTAATGCCGATGTCTATGGCATTAAAGAAGTTTTGCTCCTTGCCCTTTCTTATTATTAGTGTCCTTCAAAAACTTAAAAAACAGCAGCAACTCATCTCACTGATTCCCTTATTAATGCATTAAAAAGGTCTCATCCACATAGGCTTGCCTCCTAAATAAGGCCTAAATGACTGTGGTGACCTCTGTAGCCTAAAACTGCAATTATTGGCGCTGATAATTACGCCGTGTTTGAATGGGATGGTAAAACATGGTAAAACATACGGTCCCACTGTTGGTGGTTGTTCCAAAATGCTAGACACAGAGCTAACATCAATTTTTTGACGACTTCTGGAGGGATTAGAACACTGTAAATAGCTGCTTATCTACTCGTTCCGGTGTTGCGGACGCCTGAGGGTCTGTGAACGGACAGCGTGACATTTAGATCATGCCATTAGTCCTCTTTCTGAGCCAGCTATTCTGTACGTTTACAAAACACATTTTGCTCCAACTCTTTGTGCTCTGAGAAGTCACAGAGGTCTGTTTGACTACATTAGGTCCTCAGGTTGCCAGTGATGCACGCAATAACTTCTTTCACTGCGGTCAAACTCCTGATAACTATACTCTCTAGATATTTGCATAGAATTCAGTCAATTCAAAATGTCAATTTAGTACTCAGCCAATGAAGTACTGACACCTAAATACTTTCAGGCGCCACTGATGTAATTCTAGATGTGGCCTAAAATGTGCTGGTCCAAGATGTTCAGCAAAATTCTCTTTGGATGGGGTGAGAAAGTCGTCACATTGAAATCACGGCGTTTTAGCCAAATTATCCATCTGGTTATAAAAGCACGAGTCGCATTGTTTCGTTTTTAGTGCCCGCCTGGTCTCAATGTTGAGATTTAGTCTGAGAAGGTAAAATTTGCACAACTTTTACCACTGCAGTTGACTGGCAGGCGCTATCGCATAAAGTGATGAGCTCTGTTTTTGCATAAGAAGCTTTCAAGATGGCTATTTGGAGTAGAGATGAACCCTCCTCTCATTCTTGCCTTGTCACACTTCGCCCATGCTCTAAGTAAAAAAAGTGGTTTGGTAGCCAGGAGGTTAAGCATCTGTTGAGGACGCAATGTTAATTCACCGCTGATGGATCCAAACAAGAGTTAGTAAGGAGAAGAGCGCAATCCCTACTCCATGAATTTTCACCAAACTACCATGGAAAATTGATTCTGGTTCGGCTTCAAAAGCGTGCAAGCAAAATTTTTTCAAGATGCAGGGAAGCGTCAAAAATAGTTGCACAACTAATTCCTCATAACTTGGGAGCATTGCTTCCACCATTTGGGTTTTTAAAAGCATGCAATCTCTGATCGTCTTCAAAATATGTAAATTACGCTTCTCTCTTTGTTTAAACCTGTTTATGATTCTTTTAGATAGCATTGCTTTCCGATCCTGGTAGAGAATCCGAGCCCGCCTGTAGGAAAGACAACGGGCCCGGAATAGCATCTGATCTACTTTTGATGTCCTTAACTTTACCACTTTTATGTTCAAGGTTAAGAGTCAGACAACAGCAATCACAATTTCTAAGATCCCATTGAAACGAGCTTTGCAATCTATTCCGCTATCTAAACCTGTCATGGCAGCGAGCGACAAATGTAGACTTAAGTGGTATAGAAAAGAAGACATTTCTAGATGAAAACGCAGCTTTTAGGATTGCTTCTGACAGCTGGTTTTTGCTTCCAAAAATATACAAAAACGCCTTCCTTCTGAGCAGATTGAAAACAACCACTTGAGACTCCATTTGGCAACCGCATGGGACAGATTAAACATTTTTAAACTTGCGACTTATCACCTTAGCATCAGTTGATAGCAAAAACCTTCACTAGTTCCCTCCGCTATTTTATTGTCCCCATCGTCTGAAGCTTGGTGCTTTCTTACCTATTTCAAACTGCTTCTAAAAATCGGGGAATTTCATAAATCGAAAAGGCTGAGTAAGTGTCGAACTCACTTTCTTCAGTTTCAGCCCAATGGATCTTCTATCGATTGTACAAACGAAAAAGGAATTACAACTCACTTTTCTTGTTGGATGAGGTTGGCATTGTTGAGAACACTTAGGATTCGGACCAACTCTAGGTTATTCTTCAGAGGGAACTCCTGACCAGTGAGGTTGATAAGATACTTCCAAGGTGGCGCGTTGGACTCCGGATGCTTCCCTGGTAATTTCCAAAGCGCTCGCATGCAATCCAGATCTGCCTCCAGCACCGACATATAGGAGTGGTAGACGGAGATGGAGGGAATGAAGAATACGTTTTGCGAGACCTCTGGTGGAATGCATGTGGCAATTTTCCGGCGTAACCACTTCTTATAGAGCTCAGGACTCTTCTTGTCAAAATGGATGCAATAGTAGTTTTGTGGACGATAGATTGAGCGCAGAAGCCGCCAAACCTGAGGGGAAATATCCTTAAGCTAACAATCTTGACTGACACCTCACCTCAAGGCTTTTAAAGATATGCCAAAACAAATCTCATGTATTTGTTTTTCATGATTGGCATACGTAAGTGGTAGGAAATTTGAAAGAAACTAAGTCGCAAAAAGCAGATCTCGAGAATTTACGCCGTCCCCAAGATGATTTTTTGTTTCTGCATTCTTTAAAGCACTATTTTCAGTGGCCAACAGGATATTAAAGAAAGGGTAGGATGCTCTCATGATAATCTTTTCAGGTTAAATAAATGCCCATTCTAAACCACAACAATCAACGCACGTGACGATTGCAAGGAAAGCCTAACCAACTTCCCTAGTGGGGCTAGCATAGCACTCACCCCACAACAGTAGACCAAAGAGATTACAATCCTTCCACATGATCAGTCACACGCCCATGCATAGACAAGCACTCTAGAGGACGAAAAATGATCGGTTTTCTGTTCGTAGCGGGAAGGCGAGGTGAGTCACGAGTTCGCACAGGAATGAACTGGAGGTCAGTGCCCTCTCTTTGGGGGATAAATTGTGGCCAAATCGCATTCAGTGAATCATCAGTGACAAATTTTGCCTTCTACTGCTGCTCAGCCAATTCGATGCAAGAGTGCTCTTAATGAAATGCACTAATCTTTCAATAAGCACAAAATTTATGACGTAGCGAATGAGCTTCATGGCTCATAGAAACGTTGTGTGTAGGTTTTTTGCCAGTATATCCAAGATGAGGTCACGCAGCCTACAGCTTGCAGCAACAGAAAAATCAAACCTGGAAATCCAATGGCTGTGTCTTGCTTGTACGAGCGAGGGTCAAAGTCACCATGGTAAAGTCATGTGACCAACATCGCAACCCGCAACGTAATCTCTAACCGAAATACTCGGGCGCAACAGTAGTTAGGGTTGTCAAAGTGTGTAGTTTTAAAAGAGAGAACATGGCAGAGAAAAAATCAGGTGGCCGAGACTAGAGTTGTTTAATTTCTGCTCCGAGTCAGTAAAAAATCGGGACAGACAGACAGTTAGAGTTGTACATTCATTCAGGCAATACTCTTGAATCGCCTCGGTTCAAACCGTAAATTTGATCTGTCCAAATTAATGCTATTTTTTTGAGAAGGCAACAAAACCACCTACTACGTTTCAAGATAAGCAGTCTGTGCAGAGTACAATGCGGCATTAAATTTCCTAAACTTTTGAGATCGGTACGATTCGATGCTAACCTACGGCGAGGCCAATGCTTGCACCGACCTTAAATTAAACAAACTTGAAACAAAGCCAGAAGCACAAGACGACTATGTACGAGATTTATTCGATAAATGGAATTTATTTTTGATAAAAATGAGACAGTAGGGGGTTGAAGATGCGTCTTTATAGAGAAGAACGTGGAGGACTCTCATGTCAAAGACACCATGCTCTGTTGTTGGTGGAGTAGAGGACCACAGTATTTAAGAGTGAGAGCACACCGAAGTTCATTTACGATCACAACTACTATGGTGGATGGAATTAACTTGAATTTATTTGTTAATTCCCTAAATTTGGTTTCGTGGAACAACTGAAGCTCTGCTTTTGTATTTCTGCTGTGGCATTGTCTCCAGACCATGCGAGAGTCCTCCAGCTATTCCGTACATTCTGTTCTAGCGTCATGGCTTCTTTCGCGCCCAGTGAAGCTCCCGGATACTATGGCCACAGAATTGGGTCTTTTTGTTCGTGCTTGCTACACCTTTGATACAATGGCTTTGAGGTGCACTGAGATGTAATTAAAAGCGTATAGCAATAAAGTTGAAAAAAAATTATCAATTAAAGGTTATTTGTGCAATAAAACAAAGTTACTTAAAGTATTAAGAGAGCCTAACATAATAATGCGCTTTGAGGTTTACGATCCAACAAGACGTTACCAATCACAAGACGAATTGAAACTGCCAATACAATTTAAACTCTGTCGATATGTACTAAAAACTTTGACGAACTATAAAAAAGCGTTTTTCTTCATAAGAGAGGGCTACACAAACAAACAGGAGTCAGAACATTTGAAGGATGATTAAAGGATCGCTACTTCGCATTCACTGAGATAGTTGACGACCTTTGATTTGCTGTAGGTATCCTCACCACCGGCTTATGGCCTTCTGACTACCCTTATCAGCAATAAGTTTAAAATGCATAAGCCGGCACAGGCGAGTAAAGGATCTCAAAACGACGTTTAACCGTAGGCACCCACCCGCAAGAAAACCTATTTCGGTTCTAGTCATTTACATATACATTTCATAAATGGATCTCAACTAATCCGTTATGGGAGTCATGCCCCAGAAGTAAACACTCGAATATGGTGGACAAGAGCAGATTAGAGGAGGGTGGACTTTGACCCTCAGTCGCTTCGCAAAGCTAAGGGCGTCACATACGCATCACTTTACAATATTTCCAAACGACTGAAATTGTGAAAAGTAAGTCAGTCTGTTTATATGATTCATCAGCCGAGTTGCGATGCTCTCTGAAGTATCGAGACTGCCATGCTGTTTCGAGATCTCTCTACCCATTGCCAGTTTTCGAAGGGAAAAGGCTCTTAAAAAAGCGATGTTCGTAAAGATTTCCCACACTTTTAAACCAGGACGTTCCAAAATTCATAAAATTTATTAAAACTACCCAACTTATACCATTAAATCCTCTGCAAAATATAACATTCGCTATTCTTCAGTTAGGGTGGAAGCTGAGGGCATCGACTCAAAAATCAATAACGTATTGAAGATCAGGTGGATCAATAAGCAAGGAGTAGCCTGTTGAAGCAAAAATGTAGCTTAGTTGCTTTGACTTCCATAAAAACGCCACAGGTCAAAATTATGCACGTTAAATTTTTTTTAAAACATTATCACTTTAATCTATAACCATAGCAGCAGACAGTTCAACTCTGATGCAAAAAAAGAGGCAAGTGCAAGAAGGAGGCAGAAAAATGTATTTCCATTTACTTACTTGATCAGGTCTTTCAAACGCCAATATGGTATAGGCCAAGGGAAATTCCTCTTCCTCTTTCAAAATGTGTTCCCACGGCTCTTGTCCCGTCGCATTGGGCGTAAACCACCAGCTATTGTTTTCGCAGACATACGGGCTGCCTACAACGCTGGGAACAGTGAATTTCGAAGCGAGGAAGGTGAAGACGTAGGCTTTTAGGCGATACTCGTAGGTTAAGTGGCCCAAATCGATCACCACCAGTGCCAAGAGGGACAGCTTCAAAACCAGTCCAACGATTCGAACCACGGAAACGCCCTTTTTCCTCATCAAACGTCGCTACGACTAGTGATACGAAGACTTTTTGGAACAAGAGGCTTTGCGCTGTGCACTGGCAGCGCGAGGGGTCAACCACTGCCACCAATTGCGATGCGCATATGTACACGCACTCGCGTACTACCTGCTTTTTGCCATGTGATTGGCTATGGAGTTGATTGGGCTTTCTATTGTCTCCTTGGTTTGTGGCAATCTGGCGCATTTCGATCATCACCCTCAATTCATGCGCTAAAGGGACTACATTGGTTTTATCCAGGTGATGTTATTTATTTGAGATAAAATTGAACGCCACAACAACCTACCGAGTGTTTAACCATAGAACGAAATTTCAGTTTCCCCGTGCCTAACTTATAGCTGTAACCCCATTAATCTAAAGGGGTGAGTCAAAACTTTCGAAAGAATTGACGAATGGGATTTGGTGAAATGGAATGCTCATAGCTGTTTTATGTTTCCTTTGAAACCTAAAGAGAGGAGGACAAATTACTTGGGCGACTGATTTTTTATGTCAGTGCGGCGCTTCCCTTATTTTGGGACGCCAGTATCATTATAGTTTTGTCACCAGCATCAGTATCCACACCGGCATCTATGCAGCAACAGCTTAAAGGCCAATTGTTGCAGTCACCGCTGCAATTTTGCCTTTATCCGTGAATGAAACGTCGCCAGTTGCTGCAGTAGCTTGTCAGCTTCAATGCCACAGCCAGTAATTTGGGTCTAACTTGCCTGGTAAGCGTGAGTAGCAATTGACCCGAACAATGCTGTCCACGGTGAGGACAGTTCGAGATTTCCTTATTCGAACCATTGCTATGAAGTTCATTTAGTCATTTTTTATTCTAATCCTCGGAGGAGGAGGAGGAGGAGTAGGCAGAGTTAAAATCAAGTTGTACAAACTCCAAGCCGGCTTTCCTTACTGCAAGTTCGTTCCTATCCCCAAGGTAGGCAGAAGTTTTCGCAATGCAATAGAATTGCACTTCTTTCATTCATTTGTCTAAGTATGCAAATTCCTCGTTTTTTGGCTATTCGTTTGCATTGCAGATGTCAATGTTTCCTTCTCACTTAGCCGACGCTAATTGGCATTCGACTCTGGTATGTCAATAAGCGACATGCCTCAGGCAAATGTGCCTTTGATATCAGCATGGTGGCGCATACAGCTAAAGAGCTAAACATTAATTGTGAATTGAAGCCTGAAACCTCCGATCGCCAATGCCTAAACGTGCTCACTAGCGATGCAAAAGAAAGACCTTTAAACCGTATGAGAATTTCAAAGGCAATTGCAGCTGAGATCACTATATTGGAAGGCAGCATATTTTTGTCGCCAGTAGACAACCATCTTACGCCACCCCCACTCTTGCCTGCGAACGTTAGAACACATTTATCACAAGTGATGTTGTTTGCTGGGAAGCATAGTCAAATGCCTTTAGGAAGAATAAATACAAATCGATTTGAGAAAATAAAGTAGATTTATTTATCTGACGAAAGATCTCCACTTTCACTCTAACTAACGACAGGGAACTTCAGTTACACGGAAAATTCCCTGTTTGTTAGCCAATCTGTTAACTTTGCCTCCGTCATGTGGTGACCAGTGGGTCGCATCACTCAAGGCTGCCCGTAGGCAAATCTTACCTGACATTTGTTTACTTTGGCATTCCATCTCTCAGGAGAACAATAAAATTTGGTTTGCAAAGAATCTAAGCATGGGCTGCATGTATGACGTCAGTCTTCACATGCGTACTCGCTACAGTCTCTTGATTGATCCCCTGACATCTCACCGCACACCTCATACCCGTCCTGGTTACTGGCACACTAGAAGTCATTCAATCAGTGCGATTTAATGACGTGATGCCAATCACCAGGATTACGAATCAAAAGAAGGGGTCAACAACACGTTGAATGGGTTATAGAGGAGGCGTGCATTCCCTCAGCTTCCTGTCCTCCGAGTCACACCATTATTGGCAGTGGGAAGAGAATTAAGTACTGAAGACCAAGAATTCCGACGAAACGGCCCTACTACGACGTTCATTATGGAACTTGCCATGCCCAGTGTCCTTACCAATTATGATGGACATGCGAGACGGTCACTACGTTCCCCCTCCCATGAAACAGAATGAAAATTTTCCAACTAAAACTAGAAGTTAGAAATCTACATAAATTTTATACTTCCAGACTACATAAAATTTTAAATTACACCTGTTGTTACATAGAGTCATGCCTTTACGTCCTATTAAGTCAAAGCTATCATCCTCTCTATCGTAGCCAGTGCGCATTTTACTTTGATGATAACGCAACGTTGAGGCAGCAGTGAGTCATTAAAAGCAGAAATTATGCTCTCCAAACGTCAAACGCAAGCAATAATTGAATTGTTTAAATGAAATCCATGCTCAAGTATCTCATTGCTTTCATCATACACTCAAAAAAATTATTTCAAGTGTAGGTGGATAGGAAGAACGTGCGGAAGCCTTTAAGGCAGTAATTTGATGGAATCATTTGTGGATCGAGGACAAAAGTGAGCAGTTTATGGACGGTGTAAAATTTGTGCTAAGCATTTTGATAGGCTTTAGGTGGGCGTCCATGTGGACGGACGCCTGGCTTCCATCCCCTTATTACTTTAAGACTGTCTTTTGGTCATTTAGACACTGAAGGTTCGTACATAGCACTTCCTCGTGGTCTCACTAATGGCCGTACAGCATTGATCACTCAAAAAATAATTCCAATTGCGATTCTCTCCTTTTTGCAGTGTTTACTCGGAGTTAAGGTGGAACATATCTGAAATGTGATGCACTTATTTTAAAGGTTAACTAATTTTCCAACGGGAGAGTATAATGAAAACAACTCGACACTTACCCATTTATCATTCATCCAAGTTCTGAATCCGCCACTTGTCTGAGTGTCAAGCAGTAGCTGAAATCATCCAAAATGACGATGTTTGATAGCACCCGAAAAGAAAGAGAAAGACTTACTAACTGTGAGACTTATTTTACCTGTTTTTGGAATCATTTTTTCAAAAGTAACAACTGTAAGGCCTTTCCTAATTGATCACGAAGACACCAAGTCAAGCATGTGATGTTTCATTGGGCAAAGCGTTTACTCACAGTAACGAATCGAACCAAACATCGTGTGGTCGAGGTAAGGGTCAAGGAAACACGGAATAAACTGCTTGACATCGTGATAAATTTCATTTCAATTCTAACTTTCAGAACCCACGTCCTTTCTGAATGTGTTGCCTGGTAGAGACAGAGTAGAACCGTGCCGCACAGAAAGAAGTCGCCATTTCACCAAAGTCGTGATGGAAGCACCTCAGATGCACCCGAATCGTCTTAACAAAAGTTTAATATGGTTCGTTTGGGAATATTCGACCCCAAACCAATTGACGAAAATTTGTGCTTAAGTTTTGCCTTAAAAATTTGTGAAAAGCAACGGGTTTAGCCACCCGGAAATGGATGGATACCATAGAGATAGAAACACATTCTGACGCCTCTTTTGTTAATACATTTCCACATCTGTCGACAACGGGAGTGAGTGACTGGGTGGGTGGAGAGTCATGGGTTGTCAAATTGAAAATTTAATTTAATTCTCTTTGTAGGAGGGTGAGGTGCACTTGGCTGCAGTCAGTCAATGCTCTCCTCAATTCAGTGATAGACAAATATTATGTGCCAACAATTTTTGGTTTTTACAACAGAAACCAACTAGCCTATTTTGAAGTAACAAATCTCGGCATTATTACAAAGGAGTCCTCAACTGATGTTTTTGTACCGTGACAAGAATTATTTTGCAATAATTTACAAGGCTTGGCTTAAGCCCTTCACCTTGCGCTGAGCCATGCCCATCGTCGATAGTGCAATCTTTCGGTTTAGTGGTTTTTTAAACACTGAAGCCTCCAGCTTTCATTTGTCCCAGACAGATTGGCCTACAATCCTAGCTCGTAGCCTCTCAGACTCCCTACGTTGTCAAAGCATGTACAGTCGAAGAATTACCACTTCTGTTGTCCTCAGGAAGGTATCAAGGCTTTATACTTGCACCGCCCTCTTCTCAAACGTTGACATGCTGTAGTCCATTCATTGAGGTTTTGTTTGGACTTCGCTGGCACTGAAGAGCTTGAGCACTATAGCGTACTAAAATTTGAAACCAAAGAAAAGTGTGCAAAAATTTGAAAGCTCTATAGAGGAGTAAAGCATGAAAACTCATGAAACTGGCTGCAGGTGGAGAGGTAAAAAGAAGGCAACGCATGCAATTGGTGCATTCGCATTTTTCGATTTTTTTACACACTGTGAGAGAGGAGTCAAAACTCAAAAAGATGCGAAAAATCTCATCTGCGTAACAAAGCATAAAATGACAATCAAAGGACTTAGAAAAACGAATATCACTGCATTACCGTGCAGTACCCCACAACTTGACTGAAAACGAAGGATGATGCAATACTTGGGTGAAATGAGCTTCCCCAACTCACCGAAAGTCTACGAGTGGCATCGCCCTACAAAGCCCCAAGAGCGGCGCCTTAAGTGTTCGCAAACGAAAATGGGACATTGGACGAGCAATCGTAACAATGAAGCGGACATTAATGTTTCAATAAGCCTAAGAGCAAATCTGGATTGCAATCTCATGCTTTCACATTTATAATCACTCCTTTTTTTCATTGTATAGGCGGTACCCAATGAAGAAGGGTAACGATTTAGGCAAGTCACGTAGGTGGCTAAGACTTTGGATTGGCAATGCATTCTCTCCCACTTGTTAATGCAAAAGCCTAGGAAATGGTCTGCTGTTTTCGTGTTCGCAGAAGGCTAAATGATTGCCATTTTATTTCATACAATGTCGAAATGAGACAGCAGGATATACGATTGTGCCTCACTCAAATTCTCCAATTCCATGTAAAAAGAAATGTGTTAGCTTACCAGAGCTTAATAACCCCTCAAAGGAATTCGTGGATGTAAATAGGTGCAGAATGAAATTGAGTGTGCTGATGCGAGAATTGCTTTTTTTAATGGGTGAAGAAAACACAACTTCGGCTTTGAGGTAGACCACCGTCAAATCTCCAGGTCTGCTTTGAAGACTAGGAATAGAACTTACGAGATGAGGCTCAGGGATTGTTTTGCCAACAAAAGTACAATTGTAGAGCAAAGGTAAAAGGAATAGCCAAACATGCCAATTAAGTAGTGCAACGTCATACCCCACGTTTTCCTTTGGTGAATCTTTCGAGTGGGCCATCACAGAGCAGCCGGAGCCGTAGCGACGATGTCCAAAGACAAACAATGGTCAGCCTATGTGCTGGCAACAGAGAAGACAATTCACATCAAATTCAATGAACATACTTTATAATTCCGATAGACTAGAGGATCCAGCCCATTTGGGAACTGGATTGCAGAAGAACAATGTGTTGCCTACCTCGTTATTTTTTTTTTTCAATAGTTTTGGGACCGCCTAAATAAAAGCCTAGTCATTGGGTGAAGAAAAAAGGATCGAAAATTTCCTAAATTCCCCATGGGTTTCTCTTCTGCTCGTGCTCGCCATATTTTTCTCATTCCCTTGCTGCCTAGTCACCTATTCCAACCTATGAAGTTTATCCAGTAAGCTGAGAGGGTATCGCGCATTACCTTCATCACTATATTCATGCCTATTCGAGGCACATCTTGCGTCGCCTCACTTGTGACTACCATTCCTGCAAACCACGAGAATGCGGTGGTTGCCTCTCTTTTGGGAACTAGCACAGTTTCGCCTATCAGCAGTGCATGCCTGGCACTGGGGAACAAAACTCAAGTTCACCTTCTAATGAGTCGCAGATTTGTCCCGAAATGGTAAGGAGATGTAATATTAGTGAAAATAGGTACTTTCAAGACAAGAAAGGGCCGAGAAGCTATTGGTGCGGCCTTTAGGCCTGGAAAACAAAGTTATGCAATTATTATTAGAAGCATTACATTTACACCTCTTATTGCCAAACGTTGCCAGGGTCTGAAAACAAGATAAATTGTTGGTAGAGTAATGTTGAAATATTGACAAAGTGGAGAGGAGAAGCGTCAAGAGAGTCCACATTTGCAAATATCTATTTCAAAACAAGTGACAGGTAGGAAGAACGTAAAAATACCTAAAACCGAAAGATAAAGATGCAAATCAACGCTCCCTTCAAGACGACTTATTTCACATACTGCTCTAGCAATGCACAACTTTACCTTCCAACAAGTGATTTCATTAAAGGCGGTTCACTCATAAATTGTATACGCTTTCCGTTTATTGGTCTCAAATCAACTATATTTTACAGTCCTGTTCATAGCATTTCAGTCCACCAGGTAACAATAATTCACGTTTTTTTATTTTGGTGACATGCAGAGACAAATACTCATTGGAACCGCAGGCAAGTGTTTGGAAGTAGGCGAAAGTTGCGTGAGAAAGTGACATTTGCATAAATTATACGTCCGGCTTCATAGCTCACCCACATTCCGTTCACCGTACCATACCACGCAAGATCCACAAATCCCTGCTTTTGATAGAGCAATTAGCAATAAAAGGTACAGCCTACAGCCTCTTTCACTTCAGAGTTGTTATCCATTGCACTGAATTGAGCATGATTTAGCAATCATCACAGAATGACCATCAATTCAGTATTCTGCTAAGCATCGGACATCAGGAGAGACATGCAGTAACGCACGTAGATGAAGAGCTTGTTGGCTGAGAACTAGGTGAAAGGAAAGTGAAATGAGGCCAATGGATGACTGCATTTGGAGGGCACTGAGAAGGAAAAAAGTAAGCCGAGAAAATGGATTCATGCAGCCGATGCAATGAGATAACCAATTAATTGGAGCAGAGCCAAATATACCAGTCTTGCACCACCAGTTAAAATTCCCCTCAATGTCCTTGACAAGGCAAAACGCCTTACAGAAATAAGACTGATTCTGTAGGTGCTCCCACTTTAATGTTTCAAATGCTTGTTTAAGTCTTCTTTTTGGTTACGTTCGTACAAAAGGCCTTGCTTTTGTTTTTCTGATGGGCTGCATAGCTGCACAGTGGCTCCATCTCCATAGCACTGCCCTACGTTGGCAATGCATATTCCACCAGCAAATCATGTACTCCTCAGAGAAGTCTTGAGACCACCGCACCATGTTTGCTACCCTTCACAAAGCTAAAGTCATAACCACTTGAAATTTTGAAACTCCACGCCTTAGGTGGCTAAAAAAAATGGTGACGATGACAGCTTTGTGGGGCGGGATATATGCTTGCTAAGTTGCACTTGCCATTCTCAACCCATCCAAAATTCATCACAGCACTCCCTCAACTCTCTGGGTGTTTCCTGCAAAAGTGACATCGTTGTGTTAACAATGGGATCTTTGAATAGATCGAGACGTTTGACATCGACAAGTCATCATGCCAGGATATTTCCCAAAGCTCGTCTTTATTAGTCAGTTGTCCTCAGTCATTAACCAATTAAGCTCGATCTGAAAGCTCCTTCATAAAAGCTGAGCAATCACTAGACAAAAACAAGTCCTACACACCAACCATTCCCAAACCGATAGAACTTGTTCCACTAATAGGTATTGTAAGAGACCCAAGCATTACTACTAGGAAGCAATGATGGCAGCATTCAAAAACATCAATTTCATTCTTTCCATTTTATTTAGTTTAACAGTTGGCAATTCAAAGCTGAGTTATTACTAATGGAAAGCAAAGCAGAGGAATACAACCGCAAGAAACAGGAGATAGTGTGTGTATGAAAACACAGATGCCTCAGTTGGCAAGCCATTTTATTAGGCACTGTGTTTGTGCGACCAAACAACTTCTCGACTACTATTACTAACAAAGCGAGGCTTGCTACCATTTGAAAAGAAGTAGTACTAATGCACTTGTTAATGAACGATGAACACAAGCTTTACAATACCGCCAAAATTATTGTGAGGAACGGAGACGTATCACGGATACTGCAACAATACTTCAGCTTTAAGCTTGTCAAAGTTTTTTAATTGTTGATGGCAATAACCCACAGTACCTCATCGATCTCACCAACCATTTACAAGGTGGACAAGTTTAATTGCCTTGGAAAGCCTTGCAATTGACAAAAAAGGGGTATTGTGAGATAATTTACTCAGACTAATGGATAAAAGTAAAAAGGAGACAGTCGCAAAAAGGACTGACTACAAAGCCAAGTGAATTACCACAGAGTCGTCCTTCAGTGAACGATTCAGTCTTTACACAATTTTACTCATGACTGTGATCAAGGGATCATTCAGGAGGCCGATGCGGTCCTTCCCCTTCAGTCTTGGTCTCCGATACACAACAACAATATTTCCATCAGTCACGTTTCCACATGCAATTGCATCAAGAACCCGCTGCTTCCGGTTCTCGAGTGGTTTTGAATACATTAAATTGAGCCACGACGAACAGTGTAGACCAAACAAATTGAGAAGCGTTTAGAAAAAGTAAACACGCAACCACCTCGTGTTATTTTTTACCATCTCAACACCAGTCATTATTTGCAATATCGAAATATCCATCTCCCGTTTGCCTGCATATTCTCCCCTCTCATTCCAAGACCATATCCACGAACCACAGCCGACCAATGCATGCACATTAGTAAAACGGCTTCGTCTTTAGTCGCATTCGCATTCTCTATGATGAGATATTGTGAAAATCAACGAGCGTTATCACCCCTTCTATGAACCAATAAAAAATTGCTTTCCAACTCACATTGTACCTTGAAGGTTAACACGGCGTGGAATCGCCTCCAACCTGCCATCACGATCAGTTTTCGTAACACTTTAGACACTCATCAGTCATCGACCAGCAAGCTAGGATAAGCACCTAACAACAAGTAGAAACAAAGTGAGAAAAGTGTAGATGGGGGTGTGGAAGTAGGGCTCAAAGGAGTGAGTGTTTGTTGGAGGTTTGTAGTGTAGCTCGTCCGCCACTTGCTCTGACACTCAACCTCGACGCCAACTTCTTCCGTCGCCGGGAGTACATGGTTTGCATTTGAATGAGAAAACCTGCAAAGATAAACTAGTGCGTCTTACAATTATACCCGCATACGCTACCGGTTTTTAAATACCACAGCGATTTTTTGGGGATCTCCAAAAAAGAAAACATACACGATTTAAATTTCTTATTCACCTGCGAACCCACTACTCCATCCATTTAAGTTAAACTCTTCGATCCACATCACTGCTATTCGTCTCTCACGCCCTCACCCATTCCACCAAATCTGAGCGTTAACTTAGTACCATAGATTACGGATGAATGAGATGACAAAGGAGGAGAAGGAGGATCGGGGGAACTACATGGACTGGTTGGTGTGTATAAGCGTTCGAAATTCTGAATCGTGGCAACGAAAACACTGAAAGACAACTGCTATCTTAAAAACAATGACTCAGTTTCAAGAGACGATAAGATGGAGAGTTGAGGCGGGAGTAAAAGCGAAACCACAATGCACACCAGATAACACTTATTTCGAAATGAACTTGCCATGGAACAGTGGTATAGTGCAAACAGCAAAGTAATGAAACAACGTTAGCATAGAGAAGCGATATTCATTGTTCCATAAGTCGATGACTTCTCCTGACTAGAGCGACAAATCGACAATCTAATTCTTGGTCTATTTTGAAAGTCAGTTCAGTGATATAAATCATCAATGTATTGTCCAAGCCAGAGGAGTGGAGAATGACATTTAAGATAAGGCAGAAATCACGAGACAACAATACTGGCACCTTTAATCTTCCGACATTCAACTTCATTGCCCTTCAAGGGATATGTCGATCGAAAGCTGAACGCAATACCACTATGCGCAAAGAAAAGCCGCGCAGTCATAAAGTGCAGAACCTACCAGGTAGCATCAGGAGAACGTAAATGTGCAGGAATGTGGAAAAGTCAAAGGATATGTTGGCGTGGTTGGGCAATTCAATGCAGAAGCGCCGAGACTCCTCCAGAAGCGGCATTGCTAAGATGATAAGTTTGCCTGAAAGGAGAACAAAGGCAATTGTAGGTCAAAATCCGCCTAATCTACGAAGGATAGCAACGAAACGAGAATTCCCGTAAGCAGACAGGTTAAGAGTAGGTGCACAAGGATAACTCACCTTCACTCATGAAACCAATGGGATAGAGTGGAATCCAAAGGGTGTATCTCAAGTAAGTGAGTAAACCAATCTCCTCGTCAAATAATCGAAGAGCGTAGTAAGGATACCTTTAGAGGCAAAAAACAAACATGTTTACTCTGGAGCGCACTCTGTCGCATAAAGAACCTGACAACGCCACAAATAGCAACTACAAAAAAGACGCAATTCACATTATAACGTAAACGACCAAAGCACACAAATAGCGATAAACAGGGATAGTGTGTCCACTTTGAAGCAGCTCCCACCGTTCCCATGCGCAGCTTAAAAACCATGCGAGCGGTAGCTTGTTGGGCGCTAAAGTTACCATCCAAGTTGGTAAAGGGATTGATGCAACCGCTAACTTTTAACGCTGAATATTTACGCTGTCCAAAGGAGAATAATCGACCGTGACGCTCTTTAGCCACAAAGCTAGAGTGTTCTCCTCCATGTCCCAGCTACAGATCGAATAGGAACTCAGGATTCGTTCTACTTTCGTGTTCAAGTAAGTCATGTGACCTAATTAAGCGAGGGAGCAAGTCAAAGAGCTTACATGCCCTACCATTTTTAAATTGGCCGGATTTTTAGACAATTGGGAATGTCCTAACCAATTTGAATGGCGTTATTTTCCAGCCCTTGCAATGTCTGCAATTAAATCACTTCGCAATCAAAACACCTGTTTGGTCGGCACTCGACATCACAGTTTCGGGCAGTTTGAAAACAATTCCACATGAAGTGCACGAGACACTCACCTGACAAGCTCGATGGTACTCCAGGCCAAGAAAAGATTGAATACAGCAGTGTCCTCTTGTAGTTCCTTGTGCGGCAGAAGTATTGCAAAGAACACCAGGTTGCGGCCAAAAATCTAAGGGGATTCGTTCAAGAGTTGAATGATATGAGAGTCAGTAAAAATACAGAGAGGATGTCTAGGAATATGTCGATGCAATTGCAGTGAGTAGCAACAAGTGGTAGCTGACATGATTTCTTCGTTAGCATATTATTACCTTCGTAGTACAAACGAAGCTATCTTACCTTGTGTAAAGAATGCCAAGTCCCATTTCATGTTTATTTTGAACAGACTTACGAAATTTATACAACTTCACAAAAATAATTATGTGACATGAAAAATGATTCAAATAACTCTTACTTTGTTTTCAGGAAACTCAAATGTCTAGATTGCAGTGACAACTGACTGCCGAATTCGTGCTTACTAGGCGCCCAGTGTTGACAATTATTCTCGCCAAAAAACTGCCATTTCCTCCTTAAGCAAGCCTGACAACAGAGTTGCCTTCAGTGACGCCTCCCTTCTCCTCGTGCCATTATCACCCACCCAAATCTAAGCATTGCTAGTGCAGTGAATGGGGAGTCAAATCAACTTCAAATATTCTTCAAGGATTCAGTAGTCATTGTATTTACATAAGGCTTTCCCAAACGATCTGCGAAAAATATATTGGACGCACGAAATCTAAGCCATGAACCATTGTAAAGATTGTGGTGTGAGGATACTCTAACTTACCTCCCTCGAAGTTCACCCAATGTAAGCTCCATCAAAGGCTTTAAATCCCCATAAACAATTCATGCGTCGATAGAGCCGTGGCCCTAGATCACTTTCAGTCCGTTTAAAGTGCGTGAATGAGAAAACTCTGTCTCTGTTTCGTGGAAAACCTCTAGGTCAAAGTGACAAATGCTATTGCAAATGCCAAAACACAGCACAAAATACCATTAAACAATTCAGTAGGGCGGGATCAAACACGACCTCTCTAGTCGTTACAGATACTGAACTTACAGGAAAAAAAGGCCAGCGATACTGTAAGCCCTGATGAAAAATGTTACCTGCATAATAGTGGAAAGTATGCCACCCTTGACCCATCCTAGAAGAACGTGAGCAACCTCCAAGAGTGAAGCTAGTTGCAGTACGATTAAACGGTCCGCGACCATATCGAAGACGCGCTTTTTTATAGCTGCAAAAGCATTTAAAATGGAACGAAAACATAAATCGTTACTGAACTTATTGAAGTACCGCATCCACTCGAATCTGTTAAAAAGGGGACTTGCCATCGCCTTCTGTCCACCAGCCCCGAACAATAGCACCGAAAATGTAAATGAACCCTGCCCACTGGAAAATGTTGTAGAAGAGTAGGTACATCACCAACGGGTTCTTCATATCTAAAAAGGTCACATAGAAGAAGAAAGCCAACCAGCGTCAAGTCAACGCAAAATGCATTTAAATCTTCCTTATCTAACCACTCGGTAATGCATCCCTAAGAGGTGGAAGCGTGAGCAATTCGGAGAAACATCGTGCTCAGACACTCGCCGCCAGCATCCGTATAAACAACTTGGCTACAACAGACAACCTGAAGGTAACTTACAGTTGAAAAGTGCATCATATTGCTCCCTTGCTATTTGTTCCGCGCGCTCCATATTTCGCTTCCGCTGGAAGGAAGGAAGAATGCTTAGCAAAACTAAAGCAAAAAATTCAAGGCAATTATTGTGTCACGATTTGAGTTTATATGCGAATCAGTAAACAAACACAGAAACTACTTAAATCTCAACTAATATTGCTAGTTCGTGAGTGTCCGCGTAGTATGCTGTTACTGTGCGGATCTCTTCAGTTAGATGCGGTCCCACCTTCGTAGGAGGGGCGTCACTAAATTCCTCTTCCTCCCCAGTCTAGTAAGCAAGTAACCTCTTGCAACGTCTTGACGGTACCAGATAGTAATACCGATTCGAGGGAGAGTCAACGAATTAATCAAAAACCAATCTTGATAGAAACTGGGCCAACCAGTTATAGCATAGATTCCATTGCAACATACGCTTAAAGATAATGTGCTACTGTCCTCTTCATTTTAACTTTCCAAATGAAAACAATTTCCTTCCCATCAGAGTAACAGCGAGCCTCAAAAGCATTGGAGTTCTACTATCCATGTACTCATTCAGTTGTCTGCCAGGCTATATGCTAACTGAAAACCCATCATCTTCCTCTTTTAAGTCATTGTTATAGTCAAGCAGAATGGAAGGTTACACAGGTATCTTTCATGCAGAAAAATAAGTAAGTGTGCATGGTACATAGGCTCAGTGGTCAGTCATTCTGTCCCACGTGTTAACTGCCTGAGAAGCGTGCATCAGAGAAGAACAAGCTTTGAAATGGTGAAAAGATCAAGTCAGCAGAGAAATAAGCAATCTGAGACATGGTAAACGCCACACATCACTACTATTAACTTATGTGGGTGTACAGTCATCATATCGAGAGTCTCGGCTTACGCTTCTTGAATAAATACTCAAAGCAGTGCTTTGGAGAAATCGAGAAAATAACTAGGAACATCGAAAACCGACAAAAAAAAACGAAAATGGAACCGATCAGGTGAACCACTTTATTTCGGTGCAATGAAATAAGTGGAATTTTCGAAGCGATATGTTCGAACAGCACCAATACAGTCGGTGAACACTGGGATTCCCCCTTCTTGATTCCATTTCGCCACTATTGTGAGATAAGCACTTGCATGAATGCTACCATGGTACCGCCTCAGTAAGTGAAGCGCTGTTCATGAATAAGCACATAGAATTGCCAAGAATTTTCAGCTTCGCAAGAAGTATTTTTGGAAAGCCTAATTTACGCAAACTGGTTAGCCACTACGGAAGGGCTATCACAAAGTGTTCATCAGCGAGACGGTGGCTAGGGCAAATGGCTGAAGGAACTTTTACCGATCTTCTGTTAATGGCTGGCTACTCCCAACCTTTTACCGATCCTAAAGTATCAATTAAGTATTCAAGCAAGTTTTAAGCTACTCTTCCTCGGAAAATGACTTACGATCTCTTCAGCCGAGGGTCGAATGAAGTTAACATTGGTCCGAATCTGTGAATCCTCCTCGCTGCTGTCACTTTCATCGGCCTCGCCACTTGCGATGAGCATGGCCTTCACAACAGCCGAAGAGAGTCGATCAAAGTCGGTTCGCAACCAAGGCGGACGCTGGTTAGCAGATTGTATAAGTCGAGGCCAAACACCCTCTTCCCGCTTCACCAGTACTATATTCACACCTGTGTCTGTCACTGTGAAATCAGAGTTCTGTGGCGAAATGGGGGAAAGAAAGACATAAGTGGAAGTGAACTTAGTTCTCTGCCTCCCTTCATAGTAATGATAGTGATGCGTAAAAGTCACTGAGAGCCAATTCAACAAGGTCCTTAAACTTGACTAACAACTTACTTCTTGAACAGCAATGGTAATCTGCCTCCTGTTGAACAATATGGTGTGAAAAGACAATCTCCATTTCAAATAAAGAGTGGATGAAAACTCACAACTAAGCACTTACCTTGCCGTACTGCTATTAAGCTGCCGTTATCAATCTCTTAATTTAATGATGTGAATCGAAATTCCTTCTGACATATTGACATGATTACAAGCTGGGAAAGATCCAACATAATCTTCCTTTCAATAGAAGGTGGAAGATCAGATTAAGCTCATAGCCGTGGCAAAATGTAGTACCATAAAAACCCAAAAGAAAATAGGAAAAAATCGGAAAATCAACAACTTAACTCACTGTTACCGCATTTTCAATTCAAATGTGATAATTTAGAAGCTGGAGACAATACATGGGGATGGACGGACCATGTCATGCAGATGTATAGATCTTATGCTTGACTCGCCAATACATCACACCCACCCAGACTGCAATGCCCTTACAACCTAAGAACTTGTATTGTACATCCAGGTAGTTTACAAAAATCTCGCCAATGCTTAGGTAAATGGAGATGGTAAGGCTTTCAAAGTAATTTAAGCAATCAAATATCTATATTTAATCACCTCATCATCAATTTGTTTGAAGAGATCCAGAGAGAAAACGTACTCCTGAAGTCCATTCGCACCAATTCCAGTAGCATGAAAGTGAACTGAGGCATTACCGATTTGCATCCGTGGGTCCTGAAGACGGAAAACAACAGAACAAGGAGTAAAAATATGGAAAAAAGACCATGTACTCACTTCAACTTCGGTTAACTTCACATTGATGAAAATTCTTCCTTCATCCTGACTCCAAAGTAAAGAAGGGTGATACTCTGGATGCGCATTGAACATATTGTCTTCCACTAGCAAAATAAAAAGTCAGACAATAGTCTCTTAGTTCAAATTTTTTAAAAGCATCGCACTGATCACAGGAAAATAGCTATTAACCAAGAAACTAGACTAGTTCTGGTAGACTCAATCAAGCAGAACGTGTACGCAGAAACTATTATACACTTCATTCTTGTTTGGCAAAAAGAGACGTACATAACAAAGGTACGAACAAATAGAAAACATGACACTGAAATCGCATATCAAGTCTGAAGTGATTGCAATATGTAGCACTGCGTAGCATGGAATATAGGATACCGCAATGGAATTTTTGCTGATAGATCATAGATGGGAGCGCGAATTTCCGCACTAAATCAATACTTCATGATCCAAATTAACTCATTAATATAAAGATTCAAAAAAGCAGAGAGTTATGACCTTACAAATAGGCCGTAAAATGCTAATGAAAACACCAAAAAAGAGATGTTCCAAAGGAGCTTTATAAAAACAGACAGGTTCTACATAACAAATAGGATGTCATCAAAATCTCAGTGTCACGGATCGCTTGTCCTAGATTGCAAATACAGATTGATTTGATCTCGGAGATAGGACCGCAGCTTGACTGCATCATGCCGCATCTGCCGAGCAATTAGCCCACAATCGATCCACTGCAGATCACCTTCTATCAAGAAATGACAAATCCAACACATGTATAAAATGACGTAGATACCACAATCATAGGCGTTTGACTGCTGGAGGCACGGGATAATCCGAAAATCGGTTGTCCACTTGCAAAAACCGCATATGATGTCGCTGGTTTCTTTGGCTATTTTAACTTCAAAAGTTGGATTTTTCATGTTTGCGATTGAAGGCAAGAGAGAATCCATATATAAAGACAAGTTTAAATCCCGAGAAATCACTAAAAGCGACCAGTGATTTCCTTGATTCTCATATTTCGGAGAATTAAAGATCGGGCAGAATATCCAGTGTTTTTCAACCAAGTATGAGTGTTCAAGCACTGATTGAGGATCAGAACGAATAAATACTGTAGCTACTGGGTGAAGTATCGATATGCGAATGTCTGGGCTCTTCAGTGCGAAATTCTTTTCAATAATTTCACCAAAAAACTGAATTACATTATCAGTAAGCCATCCTTCTAGGCTTCCGACATCACAGAAGTTTAGCCAACAATTAAGGTCCTGATGCTTTGGGTCGTATTTCAATAGATCCATAATTGCAAATAGATTCTAACTACCCACTGCCATCGATACTGGAGGAACCGGCTCGCGAGAGTGTTAGGCAAAATAGAAATCAACTTCAAGGACAAATAAACAGCCAATAAAAAATTCGATTAATCAGAACGGAATTGTGTGGATCTGCTCTCCGGTAATGCACATCCATTTTGAAATAGTTATGGTAATTTGTCTTCCTGATGGTAAAAAAAGAAACGTTTATAAAACGTAAATAATGTTTGTTCCACAAAAAATGCCTTAAAGTGTAAGACAGTGGATGCTTTTTTCTACGAATGGTTTCAAACAAATCAGTGAACATTGTACTTCTTCGAAGACAGCGAGCTCCTATTGCAGGTCCCGAGCCTTCCTAATAGATAAAATAAGGCATTATGTTGGACCGAATGCATGCATTTTGGAGAGTAAGCAGTGATTAGGCAGTGACTTGGCCCGAAGGCTGAACCGCAAGTCCAAGGGCAAAACGGATATTAAAGTAACCACCAGACCTCGGTTGGCCACATAATTAAAGTACTACACTGTGCCTCTCTCCATCCGAGCTACGTCTTTGGCGACTCCACAACATATCCGGTGCCATAAGAAAACACCCGCAAGACAGCTGGGCCAGTCGTCAGTTAACATGGGACTTGGAAGCTGTACCTGGCCTTTGTAATATTTACTGGTATAATTAAGTTGGCCTTAATGGGAGAGAGGACGAAAAGCAATTCAAACACGGATCTAGTTCTTAAGGATCATGAAGGGACGTTTTCCGGGTGACATCGACTTTCTGTATCATTAGTTCTCCCTTCGCCCCCATTTCCTTTATTTCTGTACACGATGCCTAATAAACCTTCTATAATCACTTCTCCCAAGAAGTCCGAGGTTCAGTGATCTGAGGGTAGGTAGGCAAATCCACCACTGGTTACAGCGCCAGTCGACATCCTTCCTTCAGAGAAAATATGGATTTTGATGACCGACTTCTCTTCACAAAGGCAGATCTCTAGCTCTATCATCCTGCTAGGAGAGTTCCCTTGCATTTTTTCTTATTGTATGATCTATGACGCGAGGCATTGGGCGCGGGTATCACTTTCTCCTAAGACATAGAATAAGGCTCAATGGTCCTCGCCAAACTACGGAAGGAGCTGTTTTTTCTTAAGACATTTTCTAGTGTTTCCAGAAACCTAAAGAGAGCGATGAGGAGTTCACGGGGAGCCTCCAGCTACTAGCCAATCAGGCCTTCAAAGATTGCTGCCCTATTGGGGTTGACTCATGGATAGCGGCCTGTTTCAAAAGGGGCGGGCATCCGCCTGCCTTGGCAGAATATCTGATTTTAGAAGAGAACAAACAGAGTAGTCCTATTGACGTGGCAGTCGCTAAGCTCCAGGAGCTGCAAGTCTCAACAAAGTTCAAAACCCGTTTACATCCATGGACTCCCAACAGACGGCCAACTCCCAACAGATAAAGGCGTGCGCATCTAATCAATCCCCAAAACAAATTCGGCCACAATTTCCCTTGTCTCGCCTGCTTCCTTCCTGATCGCTTACTTTTATGCGGGTACGGGACAAAATGGGAGGTCATACATGTACTTCCCTTTGGATTTAGGGGCAGCTTGTTCGTAACTAAACGCACAAGTCTTTCCGATAGTTTGTGACAAGGTTCGTATCGCTCCGCCGGCTACTTAACTATGCTCTGGAAAGGGACAGGTCTCCATCAGAGTCTCAATCGGGTAGGAAAGTTGGGAGGTGAATTTAGTGCTATGTCCAGAACTTGTCTGGGCCATACTATTAGGAGGCAAAATTTTACACCGACCCTCAGCGATAATGGGCTTCGACACAGACATGTTCACAACCCATCGAAGGCCTAAGAAGAAGTGTCCAATCTCTCAACCAAAGGAAGATGCAGATCTCTTTTAGCTGCCCTTGCCGCCCTGGGAAACAATTTGAGCGATCTTTGCGCTCGACTAAAAAAGGTTACTAACGCTGAGTGGAAGGGACTGCACTCGATCCTAGAGAATTACTCGCAAATGTTCTCCTGGGAAGGTGTAAAACTGGGTTAAACACATGATCGATACCAGTGTGACAGCCGCCTAGACGCATACCTCCCCTTTCTCCGTCTCCAAGACGAAGTACGTGGATCGGTTGAAAAGAGGTTTTACGACAGCGTAATCAGGCCCTCCAAGTCATTCATTAGCGAAAAAGGAGCAACGGTGGCCTACGTTTATGCGTCTATGATAGGAGGCTCAATGCAGCAGCAAAGAAGGATGCGTTTCCCTTACCTCAAACTAACGACTTGTTGGACTCTCTGTAGGGAGCCAAGTGGCTCTCGACGTTGGACCAACAATCCGGCTACTGGCAAGTGGAGGTAGTGGAGACGAATAAGGAAAAAATGGTCTTAATTGTACCAAACGGACTCCACGAGTTCCAAAATAGGCCTTTTGGGCTTTGAAACGCAGCGACCACTTTCCAGCGTCTCATGCAGACAGCATTGCGCGGTCTATTCCCGAAACACTGCATTGTCTATCTGGACGACAACATCGTTTTTTGGGAGAGACACCCAACAACATAACGTTAGCCTCCGATTAGTACGAGATTGCAATCGGAAAAAAGGTCTGACGCTGAAATCGAAGAAATGTATTTCTCTCCAAATCTCAGTCACGTTTGTAGGACAATATTCCTGTCCTTCATTTCGTTAACTATTATCGGCGTTTTGTAGAAGGCTTCTCAAGATCGCTAGACCTCTGTACAAGTTAACCAAGAGGCAGGCGGAAAAAAGAGATCTCGTGGGAAAAGCGAACGCATAGAAGTGTTTAAGAAGTTAAGGCGCGTCCTCTGCGCGGCATCGATCTTGGGTTTACTTAATTGCAATGCTGATGCTCATCTTTCGTGTTGGACACAGACGCATGCAATATAGCGGTGGACTTAGTTCAATCCCAAACCGACAATCGCTGGAGATGGCATGAGATCGCGTGCGCCAGTCCACGTCTAAGCAAATAGATGAGATTGAAGAGTGCAAGCGAGCGGGAACTGTTCACCATTTATACAAAGGTTAGACATTTTAAGCACTACTTGATAGGAAAGCAGTTCGTGGTGAGGGCAGACTATCAAGCACTAACGTGGTTGAAGACGATGAAGGAGATCGACCGCTCTGTTGCGAGGTGGTACGAAGAACTCCAGCAATATATGAAAGGAAGCTGTGACGGCAACGCAGTGCCCTGTCACGGAGACCTCCACGGATGGCGACACAGTAGGTGCGCTGTTATTTAGCGATCCCACTTCCCCTCATTTGAGAAGTATGCAGAGCTCCGATCCCAATACAGCTTTAGTGTGTGAAAGACTAAGAACATCCTCGGCCAAGCCCACAGTCGAGGAGATGACCTTATCGAACAAGAGATGTAGATGTAGATAGCTCTGTTGGAGTTACATGAGCGACTTGGCTATGTGGGGAAAGGAGGATGGTTAACGTCACGAGAAAGAGGTATTGGTGGTCCTTGCTGACAATGACTGTCTTCGATTTCTGCCGCACGTGCACCAGCTTCAAGATCTCACACCGCACCACGGTAGCCCCTCTTCGGCCGATGCCCACAGGATTTCCAGTGATTTGAGTGTGCATTGATGTGATGACCTATACCTTGGTGATGGTGAACTATTTCACCAGGATCGCGGAAGCTGAACCTTTACAGGCGCAGGACACTGAGACAGTGGCAACCAAATTCTTTGATTGCTCGATATGCCAGCACGGCGTACCTGACCCTGTGCATAGCGACCAAGGACCGAACTTTGAAAGTCGTCTCTTCAAAGAGCTGTACAAAAACTTTGGAGTTTCGAAAAACGTGTACGTTTCCAGGTCATCCCCACGGCAATGGGCAAGTGCGAAAGACGAATGTTACTCTTGTGGGGCTCTTGAAGACCTTTACTCAAGGAGTGCAACCTGATGACGGGGATTTACACTTAAGACGGTCCATCCTTGCCTGCTGAGCCTCCATTCAGATCTCTACTTGAGTCTCACCTTTCAAAATGCTCATGGGCCGTAAAATGAGGGTTCCGTCCGATGTTTCCTCGTAAGAACTCATCACTAGGTAACACACCCCATTTTATCTTACTACTAAATGAAAGCCTCTAAAAGGTGTTAAATGCCTGACGCATACAACTGCAGATCGCGCATGTCTGGCAAAAGAGCTCCTTCGATGGAAAGAGCCGAACAGACGCCTTTAACAATGAAGATCTGGCGAAATTTTACACACCAATTCTTTCACCAGGGACCCATTGGAAATTCTACCAGCCCCAGAGCAAGGAACTCTACCGAATAATCAAGGTCCTCATCCGAAATTTGGGGAATGGCACTCAGCCTCAAACAGTATATCATAACAAGATTAGGCCATGTATAGGTCCGCCCAGGAGACGGTGCTTGAGAGAGAAGGGGGACTGTGTTATATATTTTAATGTGTTTAAGTTGGACTTAATGAGAAAGAGGATGGAAAGCAATTCAAACACGAATCCATTTCTTAAGGAGCATGAAGGGACGTTTTCGGGAATAACATCGACTTTCTGTATCACCAATTCCCCCCTCCTCTTATTTCTTTTCTTTCTGCACACGATGCTTTATAAACCTTCTATAATCACTCCTCCCAAGAAGTCCGAGGTTCAGTGATCTGAGGGTGGGCAGGAGGATTCTGCAGTCTCTTCAGTAGCTTTAATTGGGTCTGGAGTTACGTTTCGTCTGAGGACCGAAATCGTAGCCAGGAATTTCCGTTGACCATCGATCGTGTTCAGGATCGGACTTTGGTATGCTGATTTAAAACGGATGTTTAGCAGGGAACACACCATCACAAAGTGCTTCCTTATGTAAGGGGATACAGAATAGTGTTGTTTCAACATCTATACGCACATGTAGTAAGAAGGCTTCGAACACGAAGCTTCTCCAACTGATTTAGGGCAGTTTTACTTCAGTGGTTAATGGCTTGTCTGTGGGACAGGGTAAAAGGTAGAGCAAAATGCGAGCACCACTCTGTTCCACACGCTCTTCGTCTGCACCGTAGGTGTCACAAACGATGGATACCACAATAGAATACCTTCAAACGTCAGGTTCGGTTTCTGCCGCAACCAGCGTAGGGTCCTGAGACTTCACACTAGGCAGAAGAAGGCATTAGGTTGGACTGAGTGTGCGTATTCAAGGAAGATATGCATGACACAACATGGCCGGCAGGCTAGCCCACACCTACAAGGGTGAAACAAATATAAAATTAACGTCAAATATTGGATAGTCACACAAAAAGTATTACACGCTTATTTTAGGCTCTAATTGCAGTGTCTCCGTGAATGATTGTTTGAAAACGTTGTAAGTCCTTGAGATTTTTCCATTTTAATAGTAGAAAGCAAGTGGGCATGGCTAAACGCTTAAATTCAAGCAGAAGTGAGGCAACGGCCTCACCTGAAATCCAAGTCATGTGGCAAGTAGGGGATGGTTACCAAATTGACTGCTATTCATACAGGCAGTCAAATAAACGCTACACTACATTGGACCTGTCTTCTGTTGAACGACGTCATCGGCGCTTCCCTTGGTACACGTCCCGCACCAGTCGTACTAATGCATTCGGGGGTGTAAAGTAACACCCGTGAGATAGCCACCCCAAGCAACGGCTCCTTGCTTCCCTCGGCGAGGTCAACTGGATGTAGTGTTAGGTTTGGCTTGAAGTTAGGACTCAGGAGCAGAAATTAATTACGCCTAGGACTGGACGTTGGAACGGTGGTTTAACGCAGGCGCATGTCAAGGAAAATGTGATTGATACGGTCTCGCAAAGAAAAGAATTTAGCGTAACACAATTGCCTACATCTTTGAGCAAAATTCAATGGAGAGAACTTGGGGACGAAACTTTTGTAGATTGTTCACAGTGGTGCCGTTTCAGTAATTAGAAGTTTGCCACTGCAAGAAAAGAATGGATAGATGCCAAACGAAGACGTTTTAGCCAGTTATTCTGCTGAAGAGGAGTTATAGATTCTCCCGCTCGAGGCTTACTTACTTCATTTATATTGTGGAAATGTGTCACTAACATTGATAATCAGTATTGAAGTCATGACAGTGGATTGCTTTCCGCTGTCACTACTGTAACGTCCCACGACTTCCCATTCGTTTTTAAAAGGCCCTGGGGATGGCCAAATGCTTATTATTACACAGAAAGAATAGAAAGGAGGCTATGGTTTCATCTGAAAACAAGACTGTGTGGCAAGGAAGAGACGGCCGCCAAAGTGAGTGTCAGTAGTACAGATTGTCAAATAATCAAATTATTACAAACAGTGTCCGTAGCTACACAGCCTTGTCCAACTGCTTTTTGCATTGCAAGATAAAAGAGATTTTTATCCGTAGGTATGATATAATAAATTAACTAAGTGGGATTAAACATATGCGATTTTGAAGGGCCATTTGCATGATACATAAACAGCAGAACCGCCATTCATACAGGCAGTCGAAAAGGGTATTACCGTTTTGCAAGTGTTAGGCATTAAAACTAATAATCGTAGAGCTCAAGTCATCGAAGCACTACTCGTGTCAAACCGACAGCTCTGACGTACACCAGACTTTGCTGACTGCGTTGCAGTTGTTTGACTATTTCTGCAAGTCTTCATTATGTCTTCCACTGGCAAACAGTAAGCTGGACCGACCTCAATCCCCGTCGTCAGTGATTATGAATTTCTAAGGGTAACATTAATGGGTAAACAAGTGTAGAAATGTGCTGTTTATACCAAATAAATTTAATTACTTTCTCACATTAGTTCTTGTCGACTGTGTCAGTAGTTCTTCAACTCTGCTGTGCATCAGTACAACACATCTTTTGTAAAGGGTACTCTTTCCACTCGTAGATGCTGAAAATACAGTCTTTATAAGAAGTTAACAGGAGCGTTAAATAAATAGTCAGAGGTGAGGACATAAAATCGCCTAAGTGGTTATGAGCACTACAAACTACGTTAGTAAGGAACTATGGCAGAAGTCTACAGCTGTGTTGGCCACAGAATAATAAATGCAGCAATCAGGTACGACGCCTTTTAACAGCCTTGCATCATTCAAATAAGTTCACCATCACTGACTGTCAGCAAGTAAAGCTAGAATGAAGACCACTTTTTGTTCGAGGATGTGCGAGCTGCTTGTGAATATCGTCACACCCAAAATGCCCACAACATCCTACTTCGGCGTTACAGTAGCCGGTTTAGTTCCAGCACTTTCCATAAAACTCTGGAAGACTAGCGCTTGGGCGATTTTATGTCCTCACCTCTGACTATTTATTTAACGCTCCTGTTAACTTCTTATAAAGACTGTATTTTCAGCATCTACGAGTGGAAAGAGTACCCTTTACAAAAGTTTCGATGACTTTAGTGCTACGAAGAAAATTGTCGCCAAGGCTTGCGTATTAGGCTTGTGCTGCAAGCAGTAAATTATGTGATTGGCCCTTCACCTTGTCTGAGGCTTGCAAGATGGAAAGGAGGTGATTCGGAGGAGAGGGGATAGGATTCGTCTGCATTTGATATGTGTTGTTTTGTTTGCGATTGTTGTGGTGCGGGACCGAAAACAACTTCTTTGAGAATTCCACCTGCTCACTGCGTCCATGTCGTGGATCCGCGAGAGCATGACAGGTGGGAGGACTCAGTGTTTTATACGGACGGTAATCCATGGGATGAGCCTGTTGAAGATGAGGCGTGTAAGGTCGTCGTGCAGCCACCGTTGTCATCTTGCACTTTTGGAGGCGACTGACTAACCCGATGGCGAGTGTCTGTTCTTCATATTAGGCAAGGCGTCGGGCTATGGTGGAGGGGATTGGCTCAACAGGCTGTCTGAATCGATGCCGATGGGCGTGGTGATCGAGGACGGGTTTAGGGGGTTGGACTAGCAGGTCCACGAGCGGTAAATGGCCTTGTGCATAGAATTAGAGGTTTCTTCTTTTTACTTTACGCCATTATCCAGCGTTTTCTTTATTCTTAACATCTTTTAAGTAATGCCTATCTCTGTCCTACTTGCATAGGCAGAAAATAGTCTCGTTTGTAATGTCATGGGCTAGTATGGTAGTCAGAGTTTGTTGTTTTCTTTAAAAATCCATTTTCCTTGTAAGAAAATTTCATCCATTTGATTATAACTGTTTGCGTACTTAATTGTTCGTCCAAAAGGTACTTGTGGGCATGGGAGTCACTCCGAAGACTCGTACGGCCTTGATTAATACGCGTTCCGTCTTATCATCTGTTATTTTGTTCAACACTTATTGCTGCCCTTTCTTCCTCACCGTGTCATTTGGCCAACCGTCGGGATGATGTGTGGCCAATCTGATATGGCGCCTGTCAACATCGTCAAGTTCTACTGAAGCAACAAATGGGAATGTATTTGAGGCGTCACGCTCGTATGTAGGCTCTCTTTAAAGTAATCAACTTTGTCATCTAATGTTCCAGGTTTTCGTTGGATTGGCAAGAGCCGAGGTTAGTGCTGAGAAACAGGAGGACAGGTAGACAGCTCCAACTCTTTCAAACCTCTTTGGAGTCGCATGCATCCAGCGCTTAGGCAAGATGTGTTGTACTGATGCACAGCAGAGTTGAAGAACTACTGACGCAGTCGACAAGAACCAATGTGAGAAATTAAATTTATTTGGTATAAACAGCACATTTCTACACTTGTTTACCCATTAATGTTACCCTTAGAAATTCATAATCACTGACGACGGGGATTGAGGTCGGTCCAGCTTACTGTTTGCCAGTGGAAGACATAATGAAGACTTGCAGAAATAGTCAAACAACTGCAACGCAGTCAGCAAAGTCTGGTGTACGTCAGAGCTGTCGGTTTGACACGAGTAGTGCTTCGATGACTTGAGCTCTACGATTATTAGTTTTAATGCCTAACACTTGCAAAAACGCTTTTAGAGTTCGATTTTACTGTTCGAAGCTAGCACAATATTATTGTTGAACCCCCAAGATTTTACGGAAGATGGAAAAGTCATGATATTTGAGGTAAGCGTCTATTGTCCAAAGGTCAGGCTATCCTACGGAGGAGCAAAGACAGAGGTGTAGGCGTCGACGAACTTGAGGCGTGGAGGCGGGCAAACGTTTAGTGGCTTTAACAACTCGTCTCTCATTATTTTTAAATGCCCTTTCTGACATTTCATCTTGGGTGCTAAAGAGAAATTCAAGTAAATCACTCCAGTTGTTGAGTCTTCGTGAGACAGGCAATACAATTTTGCACAGCGCCATTGAGTTCTCTTGGCGACTCGACTGGATTTGTGAGGTGTTTTGCAAGAAAGCCGCTTCGAGGAGACAAGGAGTCGCAAATTCCTTAGGCATCTTGCAAAAAGGCTGAACCTAAGTCTTAGCTATTTCTTAAAAAATCCGAGTTTGGCATATTTCTAGTAATGACAACTTCCCGAGTGTTGCCAATTGCAACCCCAATTCTCACTCCAGCACTGCCCAATTGTGCCAACTTAGCTTCTATTCACCTAAAAGAGGGGCTAATGAGGAATCCCAAGTTGTCTTTGCAGAATTACCTGCCATTGTTATTAACACGTTTAGGTGTTTCAAGTCCAAGTCAAGTGGCGTTCCGGTTCAAAATGGACTGATTCGCACATTATTTTTCTTCATCGGATCTTCTCCCATGTCGATGTTAAGCATTGGGGAGTACTGAAGAGTGCATTCATTTTTTAAGGGAAGACATTCTTTTCCTCCTGCCTTAATGCATTGTATGAAAAATACGCTTCAATGACGATAAAAATATTTTTAAGAAGTAGAGAAGGAGTAGGACATGCTGCATAAGCAATTCCGTTCTGTAATGGTACCATGGGCGGCCTCAAATCCTAACAGAGAGAATTAAATCGTAACCAAAATATTATTTTCTACTCTTCTTTGCCTATGGCAAGATCGATTGAGCAGGTATTTAAAAAAAGGTAAATTCTATCGGAGGAAAACAATTTCTTCCGTTAACACGCAGCTGTTTTAGCATGCGCTGCCTTTTGCCAGTTGGGTGAATACGTTTGCCGTCAATTTAATGTCTTTTCCTTCCATCACCCACAGCAGTAATCTTCCTTTCTACAAAAACACCACAAAAAATCAACTTGAAAAATATGCGTGCTTACTGTTAGTATGGGTCGCAATAATTTTTTTAGCGTTCATTGCATTCGGTCCCGAGCAGTAGCTGCCTTCTCTTCAGAAGTGCTGTGGCATCTTCACACGCTAAAGTCGTGCACCGGAAAAGTGAGCAACAGTGAAGGTTCCAAGGAATTTCCTTAATTTTAGAATAAAATTGAATATACAGATCTGACTTTTCACTGCATTAGACATCAGTTCTCCGCCAGACAGGCTGTGATGTGACGATTTTGTCAGCAGCCACCACGTGGAAATCGATTGAACTGGAAAAGTGAGCTTTTGAATTTCCTTGCTGCAAACGGCATTCTACAGCCAGCACTGCGATCGCACAGCGAAGCACTGTCACAGGAGAAGCGTTCCGAATCACAATGGTGTGCACGAGACAATATAGGAAGAAAATTAGGTGGCTAGCGCGATCAGCAGCTGAAGACGTCTTGTCGTTGACATCATAAATCAGACAGTCTATAAACTCACCACAAATAACCCTCGAGAACTCGGTTATGGAGCGGAAAATTTATTTTTCGCTGCGCAGGACAGTTGAGGCAGATGCTGGACTGGACGAATGGATGCACATTAGTGGAGCTCTCCACACCCGCTTACCGAAAGCAGTGCCTAAATAAATAATTACAAAATTATGGAGTACCTCTTCTGCTTCGAGTGCTACCTCAGGTCCTCATTTTGTCAGCCGCATGTGTTGGTGCTGTGAGAAAAGTATCCACAAATGCAACAAACGTCAAATTTGCAGGCAGAAACGATGACATCAGGCCGCTACTTCCCCAAACCCTCGTGGGAATCCCATTGAATGTAGAGTCTTTTCTTCTTCTTTTGCAAATGGGCTGGGGGGAGAGGGAGAGCCTAGGGCATGGCGCAGGCCTCAAGAACACTGATCCAGAAGGTTAGACAATGGATGAAGGCGGGTTTGGAAGAGGAAACCCTTTTGTCCGTTCCAGTGGTTAGTTTCTTTCACATTCAGCATCGCCTTTTCGCAACACTATGAATCCTGTCCAGCTAGCAGAGAGAGGCGGCACCATCAACGCCCTTAGTTGAGACACTCGCTAATCTTGTAGTCGTCTCTGCCACGGCGATTTTCAGGGGGACCATCAATAAAGTTAGTGTTATTTAGGTTGAAAAATAGCATTCCAGAAGAAAGTTGAGCACGTGTTGATGTTGATAGTTAACGTCATCTCGAAGGTCTGTGTAGGACATCGTCAAGGGTTCTCCTGTCTGCAGCGTATGTACTTCCATTTCGGCCAAGGGGCGTCACTCAACAAATTCAAAAATCATTGCCCTTTGGGATCGAGTTTGATTCTCGCTGCCAATGGTACTGTCTTCCGAGAATTTTATTAAGGAAAAAAAGGCGCAAAATCTAGAGCAGAAACTCTTTTGCTGTGAGCGATGTTGCTCTGTGGCAGTAGCGGCGCAGGACAATCATAAAATTTAATCCTTCATAGTCATGTCTGTAATATGAATGCATGTGCATGAACCCTAAAAGGGAGTTTAGTCCTTCCACAAAATTACTTTGTGCCACCCATTGATTTTTCTCGCCCCATTTTCAGCATTTCCGTGAGTGCATTTGGTGTCAGTTTGGTCTCCTTTCCGTGGGTTATCCGCATAAGACGTCGTTCATTCTCATAAATTATTGTTGAAAATAAAATGCTAAGGAATACCACTCATTTCCGCGCAGCAAGTGGCAGGTTTGTTTACATGCTCCTGTTTGTTTTGTTATTTGCCGGCTGGTTGCCATCGCCACTCCCTTCCAGTGATCGATCGGTGGGTCTGTGTGCAGCAGTCACATGCACTCAGCAACACTGAGCAGCTTCGTGTCATCCTATTTTTCGGTTATATTTTAGATTCGATCATATGTGGGAAGAAAGGGGGTGTCATCGCCTTTCGTGACTGCCTCTGACGCAGTGATTGCGTCACCAGTCGCCACGCGGAGATCGATGGAGCTGAAGAGTGAGTTTTTGAACTTGCTTGCCGTAAACTTCGCAGTTCGCAGTTTGTACATTGTTGGCACAACTCATTTATTGTCTCTCTGAGAAGCGTTTAAATTCGTGGTGGTGTGCAGGGCGCCATTTGCGTAAGAATGGGACAGGAGAGCACCTCTCTGATAAACTACGTGCACATTGCAGATCTCCATTTTAACCTCCCGTAGCATCAGCAAATAAATGCGAAAGGGACGAGCAGAAATTAAGGGAGGAAAGAACGTAAATTTTTCCATTTCTACCGTCAAGTGATAAACCTTTGTTGGCAGTTGAGGCTACGCTCCCTGAGATCCGTGCGGAACAGAAGGCTGCAGACTTGTCTACGTTACTTACTGAATAATAGCAATGAAGAGGTGTCGCAATACTACTGACCGGGTAAAGCTCGGAGGGATATGCCCCATCAATGCAGAATCTCAGCCCTACAGAACTACGACGAACCCACTCTTCTTTTCATCAAAGCCATCAGACTGTTGTCGCTGTATTTAGCTTTGGCCACTCATTTAGGTAGATGCATTCTCTTTCGACCCCCGAATAAGCCTCCATACTACACAGTCCATCCTCAGCCACAGCAGAGTCGCCAAGACTGATCTATGACAATGGTGTCACCTGCTTCCCATTATGCATGGCGGTGCCTACTTGCAATGCTGCCGTGGTTACGCCGGCGGGCGCGAAACAGACGACGTACAATTGGCAGTGGTGAAGATGGAATCAGACAACAAAGCCCTAGTAACAGGAAACGGGTGAAAAGTGAACGGAAGCCCAAAATTTTAAAGCAGAACGAGTATGTAATGAGCACTTTCAGTGATCCTGTCATTGGCTCCATCAATGCCTTGCCACACCCCATGAATCCACTCCATTTAAATGCGTCTCTGTCTCAGGGCCTGGGATCTATTTTCAAAAGTATCATATTTTTGCTTTGATAAATCACCATGTGTCTGGATTCCCTTGTCCATTGGTATGTCCGCCATCTGCCCATTCGTTTATCAATCATCATCTATTTATCAAAATTGACGAACTTGTGATCTTGTCAATTGGAAATAGTTGGGATTCACCTTGCAATGATACTGTATAAGTTGGTTCAAAGCATACTTTTTAGTCTGGATATGAGATAGCCTCAAGTAGGAAAACCCTCTTGCCAGTTGGATTATGATAAATGCCTGATCAAGTCCTCACACCTACTTGTGGAACAGTTATCCTTCCTTGTTAAATTTGTCTACGCTCTGGTCTCCAAATGTGGCAATTTACAAATTAATGCATCAGTTCAGTTGCAATTTTCTTATCCACTCAGCATGCCCTCTGCACCTAAGAGGATCCCGTTTGATGGGATTGATTCGGTAACTCGTCCTCCCTCAATCTACAAGTGGCAGTTTGGATCGTGAATCAAGACGTAAATCGAACGTCGTTGCTTCACTTTCGGATGCTAATGACGCATTCGGGTGGATCGGCGGCTTAGCAGATTGTTCCAGTTCTTTAATCTCCTTCAACTGTTATGATGAATTTTTTTGATAGTGGAATTCGGAGTCCTTTAGCTGCCACCCTTCGGGTGAAAATGCAGCCACTACTGACCCATGTTTTTAGCAAGATTGGCATATATGTGTCCTTTGAAATGGGCTTGACTTGAGTCCACTTCGTCGCAATGTTGTACAAGACGCCTCAGGCACATCTACCAAAACAAACAACCAAATTCCACATGTTCAACGATTTCTCAATTTTCTCGTGGCAGATCTTGTTCCCATCCCGTAAATCGTCAAGTGGATCATCAATGCGCCACATGCTCACTTCGTCACCACGATGATCCCAAATGGGTACAGCGGTATCTCATCCAGAAGTGCAGATAAGGATAAGACCGAGAGAACGTTTCAGTCAAGTTTCAAGGGAAGAAAATGGGTCAGAGCCACAAGGAAGACGAAAGAATTATTTTACCCAAAGCAATTGCCTTCTATAGCGGGGATGGATGCCCCAGAAGTGGGATGTGGAATTTTTGCATGTCAAGCGGATCCAGGCGACATCGATGATAGAATGCCTAGACGGTCAGAACATGCTTAGGTAAGTGAGCATGTGATGGATTAAGGCATAGCTCTGAGGTCGATGGATGAAAATCCCAAGTACAATTTCCCCTTCTACTTTTATGTTTCGGTAGCATTGAATTTGCCACATTACTATCACCACCTAAGTTCAGGTTTCCCTACTGAATTTTCTGACTCCAGAGTCCTTTTATTTTCTCACCTCGTAGGATGAGGTATGAATTTGAAGCAATTGTTTTTCCTTTTTAGATGGCAGAACAATGGTCTAAATAGGTGCTGGAAATGTTTTCAGGTCGGATGAAGCATACCTGATGATTTGCTATTGGAAATCAATATTTCTGCTACCCTTGAACGTTAAGTGAGTGAGCACTTGAACATGTCAGTTGCCTCACTTCAAGCCGTTGACAGCTCATCCAGGTGGCATGATGTCATGGGCAGACCTTTTAGTTCATGCATTTACTCTAAATTTTACGATCAGATTATTTGGATAAGGAGGTTTGTAGGCAAGAATCACTGGTAAAAACCTTTCTTGTTGCCAAATTTAGTTAGGTTTCTGCGTTAAAAATAATTTTATAGGAGTTCTGGCTAAGCATCTGTGGGGCGACCGACCCTCCTGCCCACCCGTCAAAACTGGAACTCGGATGACTAATGCACACCCCACAATGACTCACGGTGGTGACTAATCCCCCCACCACCATCATTTTCCAGACCAAGAGAGTGATCCAATCTACACGACGCGCGTCAATATAGCACATCGGATTATGCTGTCGCGCTCCAGTCGCGATGATGCCGATAGAGAAGGGACGTCTTCCAGCTTGTCCACAGTAAGTTAGCCTGTCCTTTTATGCTAGGTTCATGGTTAGGTGGACTACGGTATATTTATGTACTCCACCCTATGTGATGTACACACTTATTTGGGGTCATGATTGGAGGCTGTTAGTCAGCAGGCCGGATTTTAACCACAGCACCTGAGGTCAACCCAGCTGTTCACGAGCAGCATCGAGTAATGAAGTCAGAGTCACGGTAGTTTGATGACTTCGCCTCCATCGTGGGCAGTTAGACGACAGCTAGCCTTCAACTTATTTTTCAAAGGAAAGCCAGGGTTCAATTTTTAGGGCCCGTTTTGCTGACATAAATTTTGGGATCTACAAGGGGAAAAAACACAGCTGGTCCAAAATGCTGTGCCCAAAAGTTCATTTCCGTTGCGCGCATTCGTAAGGTGATTATGGCCTTTACTGCATTTCCAAACAACGAGTTATCGCTATAACCAACTCAGCAACGCATGATCGGATAAAAACGCCCCACCCTAGTCACGAATTCTAACCCGCCTCCCCTTCCCGGCTCCACAGTTTCGTGATCCCTTAACAGAAACCCACGTGTCGACAGACACGAACCTCCCTCAGATGGTCAGTAAGGTCGAACTAGGGTGGATAAGATGACGTCGGCCCTTGGGGCACAATCGACTCTGTGCGATGTAGTTAAGCGACGCTACCAGCACCATAACCGTGGTGAGAATCCAAGGTACAGGACGTCACCACCCCTATGGGACCGTACTGACCTTAGACAAAATTCAAATTAGCACTCCGATTAGAGACAACGAGATTTACTAACAATGTTGCACTGAAAACTCTAGATTTTAATCACCAACACGAATCTCAGGCTAGGGCGATTGGACTAGAAACCCAACCATCGAAGCGCATCAAAAATGCATTTCAGACACCAGAAAACAGTAAGGTTTTATTGTCCAGGGAATAAAATGCCTTGGGGCGTTTAGAAAGGAGTGCCGCCCAACATGTGCATCGTACTGGATTCCAATTCCGGCATGGCAGCAACTCTTTGGAATAGGTCATCAGAACGATACTTGTCATAGGTTGCCTAGAGAGAATTCGTAAACACGGACGAGACAACTAACCCGATACTTCGAAGGTTCGCTTTGACGCAACACAGCTCTTGCGAGAATTTGCAGAGATTCTCGCACATCGTCAATTCTGTACCCGCTGAGGAAGGCCAACTTACTATCCCACACGTCATCGATAACATGCGTGTTGTTTATAACAGCAAGCGCTAAGCAGAGTGCAACCGTAGATAGGAAGTTGGCAGGGCGATGTGCCAGCTCATACTCTTGAAGTGCTAATTCAAGGAAATATTTGGAGAGATTGTGGACAAGACTGTCTACTCCCAATGATTTCGAGAGGCGTCGCAAAAAGAACAGCGGACACGGGATATTAATGAAGAAATCCATCCCTTTAAGAATCATTTGCTCACACACGGAGATGTCCGATGCATCAAAGCATCCCTCTGTTAGGGAGGAGTAATCGGTTATGTCAGGAGGGAAAATCTCCAGAAATTTGGAAGCGATATGGAGTACTGTTACTCCTAGTAACTGAAAGATTTCCCTCGAAACCTGGTTTGCAGATCTCTAGAAGGATTAGATTTCACCTATCGAACTTACGTATATATATCGGTCCAGAAGACGAAGAGCAAGAAATAAAGTTTCAGTGGTGAGCTTGTAGCCTTGGTGTACCTGGACCATCCAATTCACGAGAATGTGTCGCATTCGTGGAGTCAAGTCCACACAACCAGACAGAAATAAAGGTGGTAAAGGGTAGAGCAAAAACTCGACGTCTTGATAATAGTCAAAAGAAGCCTGAACAACACAGTCTACGATTCTGTCCGGCAGGATTAGCTTGTCATGAAGATTCGCAAAACGCGAAGAATCCATTAACAAGCATTCACTTCGAACCTGCATCCTTTGCTTATAGAATCGGTAAAAGTTAATGCGCATCTGTGGGGATAAATGATGCACAGATTTCCTTAACTCTCGCAGACCATTAACGCTAGTGACATCGAGGTGCCGCTTGAGACGTTGGTCTGATGTTGATGCCGTCGTTCCAGGAAACTGGGTCAAGTTTTGATTGATCTCACCAAGAATAGGTCTAGGTCTAACACTCAAAGACTTTTTGAGCACTTTGCCTTGATCCATGACATTCTCATCAGTCTAAAGCAAAAAACAGCATTACGAAATCCCCAAAGAGGAAACCGAAAGCCATAGACCAAAAAACTACCGAAGCGTTTCCTCGCCGACTCTTATTGCGCGTGATCATTGTAATCTAAAAGGAAAGTGACGCGGAAAACCTTCCAAAACTAGATTTACAGTACATTTCACCAAGAGACATCGACAACAAATACATTAACACTAGCATGAGAAAACCAACAGTTCTTATGTCTCTAATCCTTCCGTCCCAACATCCTTTACCTTCGGGCTATTAGACTTGTCAGATGAGATGCGTTCAGAGAGAAGGAGTGATGCCAACTGAGCGATTTTCACTTAGCGAGGGATTTAAAACGTCTCTTGAACTCCCGCCATCGTTCGTATCTGTTGTTGATCTTTTAAATTTTTAAAGGAAAATGGTCAAAATATACACGAATTAAAGTACTGCAGGTAAATTTTATTAGGATGTTGCAATGCACAGGTTAAATGTTTTAATTCATTTACTCGGCAAGTGCTTTTAATGCACCCTTTAGCGACGGTATCTACGGCGTGGCTATGGCATCATTTTTAAAGATGTTAGTAGCTCAAATTAACGTTTCTCCCAAATTTTCCGTAAGCTAATGCGACTTCCCAGCAGTAGTGATTACTAATTATTGCGCGATTTGTATAGCCTCAGGTGCCATTATCACCTTAAAGCATGGCCTTCTGAGCAGTCGCAGCCCTAAGTCTACCGCGCTACAATAAAATCTAGAAAGGAGGGAGAAAACTTAGAGAGATGCGATGCTGCTCCAGAAATTTCTGTACTTGTTCTTCTAATTTTACTCAATAAGTGTCTCCTATTTTGACTTAAGTCATCTTCAAAACCTGAACTAACTTAGCCTACTATTTCATAGACCTTGGATTTGGTCAAGAATCCGTTTAATCAATTAATAACGGGAGTCTTGTTTGCTCATCTGGGCCTGTTAATTTTAATGCACTTAGTCAAAGCGGTGACACTTGTTGAATTTTTTTACTCCAATGTTACCTGCTTATGTTTGTACCCTATTTTCTTCTTTAAAATGTCATCATTGCATCAGATTTTGCTCTTGAGGGTAGCTAACGTGCATAGAAGCCTGTGCGCTTGGTGTGTGACTAATTGGTTGACTTTCTGGATCAAACTAGTTGGCTCCTACCATTTACGTAATCTTAGCCTTCCCCCGGATCTACTCTGGAGTCAATAGACACCTTTATTTAAAGAAAATATCAGATCACTAAACCAAAGTGCAGAAAGTACCTTGCCACTTGTCTTATTCTCACTGTAAAGCAATACACCGATAAGTAGAAGCTATCTACACCAGAGGAATGATCTAGAAGTGGTCTTTGGCGGATACGTCCGCAGGGTCGTCTTACAGGCGGGGCTCCATCATCACTACGAGTCCCTTGGTAGTGCCATATGCGATGCCACCACAGTGCCACAGAATTGTGTTTAACGACATTGGCGTAAATCCATAAGGTGATTTCATGAAATCCGGAGGGTTGAACCGAAGCACCTCTTTCGTTTTAGCACCGCCTTCCGCCGAATTTCCTCGAGTTCTTTCAACCGCAAAGATGTAAGCCAACGCAGGAGCTTCGAACTTGATCATTTTAGCGAATATTGCGTTGTACTGCTGCACCGTAGCTGGGACGTGATGGGTCACAGCAAGGGGTGAGTTGGCTGTTCCGACGACGAGAAAACTGCCGGAAGGTGAAAAATCAAGGCACACAGGTTCAGCAGGTGGCGTCATATTCACCGTGCAAATGCGATGACCGCGACGACTCAAAGGCTCCGTCCAATACACGGCTACTACACTCTCTAGCATCTGCGCCAAATAAAAAAAGATGTACGATGGTAGCGAGATAGGAAAAGAGAGGTGAGATATGACTAACACTTACCTGAAAATTATCAGTTTCGCCATGAGCATCAGGCGCAACGATGATGGCAGCCATTAAATTACCATCACGAGAGATGGAGATTGAAGAATCGTTCGAGATGCGCGCCTGAGGAATCACTAAGATATTTCGAAGGCATGTGACGGCGTAGTTTGTGAAGATGCAGGTAGCATCGTGGATGACGGGGCACATCCGTGTCTCATTCTCAGACCCACATAGCTTTAACGGCCATCCACATATCCTGTGAGTTACATTCTGCAATAACAGTTGATACAATATAATTTACCTAGCGCCCGCATTCATTGGCCGTGCTCTAGGTGCAACAGGTCAGCTAGGTGACAAGGTTCACATAGTGCACGATTGACCCTGCATCCTCTGCTTGGTGCAAAGGCTATACGTATCCGGTATTTGCACATGTTTAGACAGTGTCATGCTTTAGAGGTGTTTCGACAACATGAAATAGATAACTCGTGTTTGGAAAAAAATGTGAAATCGCTTTGCAGTGGAAGTAACACATCGGAGGCTACAATTTCGACTAAAATTATTGCTGGATTTCTGCTTACGCTTCTAAGCGTATCAAAACAGGCAATTTCTGAAATTGCGGAGACGATGAAGAGTAGAAGTCTTAGCTACAGGTAGCTACTTTTCAATCGCTGGTGAAAGGCACGATTGCTGAGATAGATGTCAAGTGATTTCTGGCTTGAAAATTCCTTCCTGCTCTATCTATGGAAAAATGATCTCTCCATTCGACAATCGTCCTGCAGCACCTGTCGAACTCAGATAACCGCACTTCAATTACTCTTAAAACAATGTGGAAGACGTTAAATTCCACCCCTTGCTTCTGGATCAGTTACAACGGCAAAACATAACTTTAAAAAAGTAAAGGAAATTACGCGAAGACTGCATGCGGAGCTATGTTCTCCCATCTCCTGAAAAATGTTTGCAAGGGTGTTGGCAACTTGCTGGAGGGAGAAGGGTAGCGGATCCGCGTTCCTTTCGGGGAAGAAGAGGTGGGAGTGGATTGCGTGAAGCTCCCTTTCTATAACTTTACTCATTGGTATTGTTTGTTGGGCGATATTACCGCACCTGTAACAGGCTACTGAGTCTGAAAGTAGGAAGATAGCAAATAATAATCTCCATTCAATCATTCCACTATGCACGAAACAACTTCAACTCAACAAAACTGTAAATCAGCAGCTATGAAATCTATTACTGCATGCGTATATACATATGTATATATATATATATATATATAT